CCCTCTATGTTCCGTACCAAGTGAGGTGAGCAACCCTCTATGTTCCGTACCAAGTGAGGTGAGCCCCCTCTATGTTCCGTACCAAGTGAGGTGAGCCCCCTCTATGTTCCGTACCAAGTGAGGTGAGCCCCCTCTATGTTCCGTACCAAGTGAGGTGAGCAACTCTATGTTCCGTACCAAGTGCGGTGAGCCCCCTCTATGTTCCGTACCAAGTGCGGTGAGCCCCCTCTATGTTCCGTACCAAGTGCGGTGAGCCCCCTCTATGTTCCGTACCAAGTGCGGTGAGCCCCCTCTATGTTCCGTACCAAGTGAGGTGAGCCCCCTCTATGTTCCGTACCAAGTGAGGTGAGCCCCTCTATGTTCCGTACCAAGTGAGGTGAGCCCCCTCTATGTTCCGTACCAAGTGCGGTGAGCCCCCTCTATGTTCCGTACCAAGTGCGGTGAGCCCCCTCTATGTTCCGTACCAAGTGAGGTGAGCCCCCTCTATGTTCCGTACCAAGTGCGGTGAGCCCCCTCTATGTTCCGTACCAAGTGAGGTGAGCCCCCTCTATGTTCCGTACCAAGTGCGGTGAGCCCCCTCTATGTTCCGTACCAAGTGAGATGAGCCCCCTCTATGTTCCATGTGGTTAATCACAGTTCTTTAAGGATTTAGCCAGGGGGGCAATTACTTTTTCACATACGGCCAGACAGGTTTGGACAGCTTTCTTCCCCTAATGAATGAAATCCTCAATTAAAAACTGCATTTTGTATTTACTACTCGGGTTATCTTTGTGTAATATTAAGCTTTGATGATCTGAATCATTTAGATGTGACAGATATGCACTGTATATGTTCACACTAGTTTGACTTCTCATGCGACCTTGGACGCGTAAAGTCACATGACAAGTCGCAGCCCATTGATTTCAATGGCACCCTTTCCAATCTGTGCAACTTAAAAAAAGGTTCCACCCACATAAAAGAGACGCAGGAACCTTTTTTTTTTTTTTGCCGCACCGGAACCAGATTGCATGGGTGTTCGCAACCCATGTGATCCGATTCCTGCAATCGCACTGCGTTTTGTGACCTGTTTTGGGGGGTATCCTTTGCCATCGACACCGGTGGAAGATCGCATGAACGGAGCGCGATTTCAGTGCGGTGCGGCAAACGCAGCGAATCCTGAGCGTTCACCGGATATATGTGAATCGGCTCTAAATGAGGCCTAATCTGGTTGCAATGCTCTGCAGGCTTCAATGCAAAAAATTTAATAAATGCATTTTTTTTTTTTAAATATTTGGGGGTTCATTTATTAAATATTTGCAAAAAAAGTGAAGTATGCTTTAAAGTGCAATTTCTTAATTTCCAAAATGTTCATTTTTAGTAATTTTGTGTGCAAACGGAGAGAAATGGCCCCGGCAGCGATGGGGTTAAACCCGTTCCGTATAAACAGCCGCCTCCAATCTAAGCGCAGAGCGCCGTTCATCTTCCCAGCCTATTGAGGAAGAATAAAATGCGGCGGAGCGGGTTCTGGGGCTTCCCGGGGAGAAATAGAAAGTAGAAGTGTGGCTGAGCCAAGCGGGTGATATGGAGAGCAAAGTTTCACTCTCCCCTCCCCCCCCCTCTGCCCCCCCTCCTCCACCATGTGATAGGAACCCGGAGCCAGACGCAGTGCAGTATGCTGCATTACAGCAAGGCCTGGGACAGCCAACCCCACGGTCATTGGTGCCCTGTGATGGTGAGTAGGGGGGGGGGGGGGGGGGGGGGGGGCAGCAGAGCTTACAATCCATCCATCTCTCCATGACAAAAAAAAAAAAAGAATTTTGTGTTTTTTGTTTTTTTTTTTTTCTTTATATGAGTCATCTGCTTGTTTAACCTTCAAGGCAGCCATTGAGATTGTTCGCTGCATGAGGCCGAGCCGGAGACGTGCAGCTCCTGTGCAGATCACACCCGGCACTGAGAACCGTTCCCTGTTATCGGGGGGGGGGGGGGGGGGTGCAGGTGATGCTTTCTGATGGCGGGGTGTCAGATAATCCCCCGGCTCCGTTTAGCAACCCCCCCCGTCTTCCTTATACATGGAATATTTATTGTTTGAATTGCAACAGTTAATATTGCTCAGTGGGAGATGATATTCTGCAGCACACAGCAGACTTCCTGGGGGGGGGGGGGGGGGGGGGGGGGGGGTTGGTATCTTGCTGCACAGTGGTCTTCCTTTGGGGAGACATCCTGCTGCACATGGTGGACTTTTTTTGGGGGGGAGGTAACTTGCAGAACACACCACACATGTTATTGGGGAGGTATCTTGCAGGACACACAGCTGACTTTTTGGGGGGTGTTAATATCTTGCAGCACACAGCACATTTCCTGGGGGGGGGGAGGGTTGGTATCTTGGTGCACACTGCTCTTCCTTTGGGGTGTTCTCTTACTGCACATGGTGGACTTTTTTTGGGGGGGGGGGGTAACTTGCAGAATACACCGCATATATTATGGGAGGAGGTATCTTGCAGGACACACAGACAACTTTTTTTTGGGGGTATTATATCTTGCGGCACACAGCAGATTTCCTGGGGAGGGGGGGGGGGGGTTGGTATCTTGCTGCACAGTGGTCTTCCTTTGGGGTGACATCTTGCTGCACATGGGGGACTTTATTGGGGGAAGTAACTGGCAGAATACACTGCACATATTATGGGGGGAGGTATCTTGCAGGACACACAGCTGACTTTTTGGGGGGTGTTAATATCTTGCAGCACACAGCAGACTACCTAGGGGGGGTTTGTATCTTGCTGTACAGTGGTCTTACTTTGGGGTGATATCTTGCTGCACATGGTGGACTTTTTTTGGGGGGGGGGGAAGTAACTTGCAGAACACACCACACATATTATGGGAGGAGGTATCTTGCAGCACACACAGCCGACATTTTTTTAGGGGGTATTAATATCTTGCAGCACACAGCAGATTTCTTAAGGGGGAGCTAATATCGGTTACACGCAGCAGATATTGCTGCACACAACAGACATCCAAGGGGGGGGGGGGATTGATTTCTTGCTGCACAGCATACTTCCTGGAGATGGATTGCTGAACACAGCTGACCTTCGGGGTTGGGGGGGCAGTTGATATCTTGATGCCTACAGTGAAACTTTTTTGGGGGGGGGGGGCATTAATATCTTGCTGCATACAGTGGTCTTTCGGGGGGGGGGGGGGGTTATCTTGCAGGACACACACTGAACTTTCTTGGAAAGAGGGATCATATCTTGCTGCAAACACACTTCTTACGTGGGATTGATATCTTGCTGCATACAGCGGACCTCCTAAGGGGGGTGATATCTTGTGGCACACAGCAGATATCCTAAGGGGGGGGGGGTGTGATATCTTGCTGCAAATAGTGGACTGCCGAAGAGGGGTTGATGTTTTTGCTGCAAACAGTGGACTTCCTAAGGGGAGGGGGTTGATATCTTGCAGCACACAGCAGACTTCCTAAGTGGGGGTTGATATCTTGCAGTAGACAGTGGACTTCCTAAGGCATGGAGGGGGGGTTGATAATTTGCAGCACACAGCGGACTTCTAAGGGAAGTTGATAACTTGCAGCACACAGCGGACTTCCTCAGGGGGGGGGGGGTTGATATTTTGCAGCAAACGGCGGACTTCCTAAGGCGGGGGGGGGGTTGATATTTTGCAGCAGACTTCCTGGAGGAGTTATATCTTGCAGCACACAGCAGACTTCCTAAGGGGGGGGGGGGGGGTGATATCTTGCAGCACACAGCGGACTTCTAAGGGGTTGGGTGCAGGGCCGGGACTTGATAATAAGGGGGGTTGATAGCACACAGCAGACTTCCTGGAGGAGTTTATATCTTGCAGCACACAGCGGACTTCCTAAAGGGAGGTGGGTTGATATCTTTCAGCACACAGCAGACTTCCTAAGGGGGGGTGATATCTTGCAGCACACAGCAGACTTCCTAAAGGGGGGGGGTGATCTCTTGCAGCACACAGCAGACTTCCTAAGGGGGGGGGGTGATATCTTGCAGCAGACTTCCTAAGGGGGGGGGTGATCTCTTTCAGCACACAGCAGACTTCCTAAGGGGGGGGGGGGTGATATCTTGCAGCACACAGCAGACTTCCTAAGGGGGGGTGATATATTGCAGCACACAGTGGACCTCCTAAGTTAACATCAAAGTAATTAAATTGTTTGAATTATTATTTTATTATATCAACAAAGAACACAGGTTGGCCAACATGTTTCAGGGGCTAGAAGCCTCCCCCTTTATCAGGGCTATAAACAAGAACATACTGTGAGTACTAAAAATAACAACGGTGAAGAAACATGAATCATTTTATTACAAATATATTTCTATACTTTAATTAGGTTATAATTCAATATGAATATTAAATCTATTTATTTTTTAATATATCAATATAATTTAATAATTATCAAAATAATCAACCAACAAAGAACAAAGGTTGGCCAACGTGTTTCAGGGACCAGAAACCTTCATCAAGTCTGTAAATAAGAATATAAATGCTAAACTAAAACTTGTAAATAGATAAGTAATATATATATATAATAGATAAGTAAATATATAATATAAACTTGTTATATAAAAAAAATAGCTTTCTGTTCCTCTGACATTCACTCTTCAGGACACAACGAGAGAGGGAATCTCAATGGAGTCACAGACAGCGTGGTTCTATCCTTTCCACACTCCATCCAAATCCGAAAGAAACATTTTATGTTTTAAATGTCTGTTTTGGGAGGACTGACTCTTAATTGCTTTGCAAAACACAACAAGGTTGGAGGCGTCTGTGTTTCCCCCATTAACCAATCGGGAAGAGTCAGCTGGAATATTGCTTTTGAGTATTGTTGACATTTCAGCCATGCCTTGCCCAATTGTTGTAGGCACCTCTCAGACCATAACTTGGCAATACTTGGTCTTGGACATCCACCCATAGGCCTCGTACTGCAGCAGAAGGTTCAGCTGTTAGATCTGAAGTCCAGCGCCCCGCGTACTTACTTTTCTCTCTTCACAGGCACTATGGCTGATAGGAGTGGTTCGCGGAAGCATAGATGGTCAAGTCCACCAGAAATATCTCCAAGTAAATACTTGAGGGGCCTTGATTCGAAACTCCCGAGAGGGGCCCATCGCGGCAGAGAGCGAGACTCTGATAGCCCCAGCCCGCCGAGGGAGAGGCAAGTAACGCTCTACCCCTATGAGAGTACTCCAAAGCGCACTCTGGATCACCGAATTGGCGGCAATTCCAGAGACAGCGCACAGAGCAGGGGCCACCGACGGACCATCAGCTCGGACTTCCACAGATTGGACCAAGAGGAGGCATCAACACCTACTTCCAGGCCATCGGTGTGTCACTAACAGAAGTAAGACCATCCATTGAAAACCCTAATGTGCTGCCAGTTATAGATATTCATGAACTAGAGCTTCCAGTGTTTCCATACCCTTTAGTCTATGTTTGGAAATTGTGGAAACGTCTCAATGGCTAAAAGGTATTGCTTGTGCCTTGCTTGGAGGTACCCTATATAATGTTTTCCTAAAGAGAACCTGTCCCCATAATCGGGAAACCTGAAAGAAGGCATTCTCAACAAGGCTTCCCCCAGAGGTTCCTCACACAGTGAGTAGTGGCAGATCTCCTACCTGCAATGAACACAATGTAAGGGGGCAACATCGCCCTGATAATTCAATATAAGGGGTCACTTCTAACAGCATGGTAAAGGAGCTTTGCTCCATCAACCATCAGTATGAGGGGGGCATTTTTCCTTTGACAACCAACATAAGGGGTCGCTCCACACTGATCACCAATGTAAAGGGGCTTTTCTCCATCAACTGTCAATGCAAATGGGGCTTTTTTTCATTTTCCACCAATGTAAGAGGTCACCTCTACACTGATCACCAATGTAAAGGAACATTTCTTTATTGACCATCGGTGTAAAAGGGGTATTTTTTCATTGAGCACCAATGGGTCACTTTTATATTGATCAACAGTGTAAAAGGGGCAGTTCAATTACAAGGGGGATAAGGGGATCCTGGGTATGGGCTTTAACCCCTTCGCACTGACGCCTCCTGGCCCTTTAAGGGGTTTCTGACACTGGGAGGCCTGGCGGAGTTTAGGGTCATGTGACCACCGTGACTGGCGGTCACATGATTGGAAAATGTCCCGTTCGCAAGAAGAGATTGGGACCTTTCCGTGGGACACCGATACATGTGCTGGGAGAGCCAGTGGTGTATTTAGGATTTGTGCTGCCCTAGGCAACACAAAAACTGTGCACCCCCCAATGAGAGAACGAGAGCGTTCAATGAGTGAGTGTGTGTGTGTGTGTGTGTGTGTGTGTGTGTGTATTATTCCTCTTCTCTTCACTCTTCCTCTCTTCCTCTCTTCTCTCTTCCCTCTTCCTCTCTTCTTCTCTTCCCTCTTCCCCTCTTCCCTCTTCCCCACTCTTCCCCTCTTCCCCTCTTCCCCTCTTCCCTCTTCCTCTCCTCCCTCTTCCTCTCCTCCCTCTTCCTCTCCTCCCTCTTCCTCTCCTCCCTCTTCCTCTCCTCCCTCTTCCTCTCCTCCCTCTTCCTCTCCTCCCTCTTCCTCTCTTCTCTCTTCCTCTCTTCTCTCTCTTCCTCTCTTCCCTCTTCCTCCCCTTCCTCTCTTCTCTTCCCTCTTCCTCCCTTCCTCTCTTCTCTTCCCTCTTCCTCCCTTCCTCTCTTCTCTTCCCTCTTCCTCCCTTCCTCTCTTCTCTTCCCTCTTCCTCCCTTCCTCTCTTCTCTTCCCTCTTCCTCCCTTCCTCTCTTCTCTTCCCTCTTCCTCCCTTCCTCTCTTCTCTTCCCTCTTCCTCCCTTCCTCTCTTCTCTTCCCTCTTCCTCTCTTCTCTCTCTTCCCTCTTCCCCTCTTCCCTCTTCCCTCTTCCTCTCCTCCCTCTTCCTCTCCTCCCTCTTCCTCTCCTCCCTCTTCCTCTCCTCCCTCTTCCTCTCCTCCCTCTTCCTCTCCTCCCTCTTCCTCTCCTCCCTCTTCCTCTCCTCCCTCTTCCTCTCCTCCCTCTTCCTCTCCTCCCTCTTCCTCTCCTCCCTCTTCCTCTCTTCTCTCTTCCTCTCTTTCCCTCTCTTCCTCTCTTCCTCTTCCTCTCTTCCCTCTTCCTCTTCCTCTCTTCTCTTCCCTCTTCCTCCCTTCCTCTCTTCTCTTCCCTCTTCCTCCCTTCCTCTCTTCTCTTCCCTCTTCCTCCCTTCCTCTCTTCTCTTCCCTCTTCCTCCCTTCCTCTCTTCTCTTCCCTCTTCCTCCCTTCCTCTCTTCTCTTCCCTCTTCCTCCCTTCCTCTCTTCTCTTCCCTCTTCCTCTCTTCTCTTCCGTTCTTCCTCTCTTCTCTTCCGTTCTTCCCTCTTCCTCTCTTCCCTCCTCTTCTCTTCCCTCCTCTTCTCTTCCCCTCTTCTCTTCCTCTCTTCCCTCTTCCTCTTTCCCTCTTCCTCTCTTCCCCTCTTCTCTTCCCCTCTCCCCTCTTCCTCTCTTCCCTCTTCCTCTCTTCCCTCTTCCTCTCTTCCCTCTTCCTCTCTTCCTCTTCCTCTCTTCCCTCTTCCTCTCTTCCCTCTTCCTCTCTTCCCTCTTCCTCTCTTCCCTCTTCCTCTCTTCCTCTTTTCCCTCTTCCCTCTTCCTCTTTTCCCTCTTTCTCTCTTCCCTCTTCCTCTCTTCATTTCACTCTCTCTCGAAGTGGCGGAGGGGAAAGAGCTGGGAGGAGGCGAGCTGTGTTGTGGTTTCTTGGCTCTCCCTCCTGTTGTCCATCCCGCACATGATACAACGATCACTGATAGATCGTATGGGACTTTATACACACACACAGTTTCATTCCCCCCCCTCCCCTCCTCCAAGGGCTGCTGATCTCCGAGCAGCAGAAAATGTGGGCAGGGGGTGGTAATCATACTGTTTGTGTGCAGTCACATATGCTCTATCAGTGATCGTGTAGCATGTGCTGGATGGACAACAGTAGGGAGAGCCCAGAGAACACAATACAGCTCACCTCCTCCTGTCTCCTTCCTCTCCGCCACTTCTCCTCTCCCTGCTCTAGGCTTTCCCCTGGCCCGCACAGCGCGCACTTTCAGCACATGTTTGTTTATAAACGGTACGCAAATTTAAGATTCATTAAAGCATTTTTTTTTTAAATTAGCTTTTTTAAAAACCGCTGCACAAATGCCATGTGACATAAAAATATTCAACACCCACCATTTTATTCTCTAGGGCTCCTGCAGAAAAAAATATATATAATGTTTTGGGGTACTATGTCGTTTTTCTAGCTAAAAAAAAAAGGTTTCTACATGTAGGAAAGGAATGTCAGAGTTGGCCTGGACTGGAAGTGTTTAATTCACTTCTTGACTGAGGGTGACAACCTTACTGAACTGCTTTGTCACCCCAGAACAGGGAGTGCGTTAGGACTACGTAACACTGTGTTAGGACTACATATCACCTCCCTCTCGTCATAACAGGACACTTTAACAGTTCAGCTTGTTTCTTGAATCTTGTTTGCAGGGTGATAGCCGAACAAAGATGAATGAGGACAACAAAACAAAATCCGAGGAATTACCCAGGTCCCGGGAACGAAGGCCCAATGCTCCATCCTTGTTGTTTAAGAGAGCGTTCAGCGACATAGGAGTTTCCGCAAGAGGAAGAAGATCATTGGATAGCCAGGTGACAAGTCCGTCGGAAGCGGAGAGGACGAGTCGCTTCCAGCGACGGGAGTCAGAGGATTCAGACTTGTCAATCGAGACGAACACCCCTGAGAGGGAGAGTGAAGAAGAGAAATCGTCATGGAGGTCAGAGAGTGCAAGTCACCCAAGCTGGTTAGGGCGAACCATCACAAGGACGGTTCCTAAAGAAGAACTGGAGGTCCGTAAAGAGAAGTCGAAGGTTTCACAGCCATCGCCCAGGACAGACACCCCCAAGAAAGAGATTGTGGAAGAAAAATCAACTTGGAGGTCGGAGAGGGCAGATCATGCAAGCCGGATAAAGCGAACTAGAAGTGTGACTCCTAAAGAAGAACCAGAGGTTCGTAAAGAGAGGCCAGAGGTCCGTAAAGAGAGAGCAGAGTCTTGTAAAGAGAGGCCAGAGGTCTTTAAAGAGAGGCCAGAGGTCTTGTAAAGAGAGGCCAGAGGTCTTTAAAGAGAGGCCAGAGGTCCGTAAAGAGAGGCCAGAGGTCCGTAAAGAGAGGCCGGAGTCTTGTAAAGAGAGGCCGGAGGTCCGCAAAGAGAGGCCGGAGGTCCGCAAAGAGAGGCCGGAGGTCCGCAAAGAGAGGCCGGAGGTCCGCAAAGAGAGGCCAGAGGCTTGTATAGAGACACCGGAGGTCCGTAAAGGAAGAACGGAGGCCTCGGTGGACACTCCGAGACTTGTGTTCTTATATGAATCTGATAAAGAATCTGATACAGTGAGTACAAGAATTTATACAACCCCCATGCTTTGTAAGCCTTTACATTTTAAGAGTTCAACATTTGAGCGCTCCATCAATCTCACAAAACACTAATGCCATGGGGCTTACCCATGTGTACCCCGTGTGAAGGCCGTGTTTACTCACATGAAGGGTGTACAGGTATTCTGTGCAGCCAATCCCATTGATGTAAGTTGGAACTTAGCGGCTGAATGGAAACATCCACTGCTCCCAGTATGACATGCATGTGGGTGCGTGTGCATGGCCCTGAACACGGTGTTTGGGGGGGGGGGGACACCCGCACCACACGAATGTCATATTGGGATCAGCGGCTGTGTCTTTGCAGCCGCTGTATCCCAATTGACATCCATGGGACTGCCAGCACGGGGATGCACAGGCCCTCATACAGGGTATGCATTGATATGTCCCGTGTAAATGAGGCCTTGGATGAGGGCTTGACAAATCCCAGTCGCCATGGTGACTAGAAATCGCGTTCTGGCACCTGGGCTTTTGTCAGCCCATTCACAGTTACATAGTTAGTCTGGCTGAAAAAAAGAAAAAAGTCCATCTAGAGAAAAACCATAGAGAGAAAAAAAAAAAAAGTTATCCTATACCCACAGTTGATCCAGAGGAAGGCAAAAAAAAAAAAAACAGCATTCATTTATATACCGTATTTTTCGCTCCATAAGACGTACCTAGGTTTTAGAGGCGAAAAAAACAAGAAAAAAAAATATTCTAAACCAATGGACTGCAGACATAGTACAGGAGATGACCAGAGACTGCAGACACGGTACAGGAGATGACCAGAGACTGCGGACACGGTACAGGAGATGACCAGAGACTGCGGACACGGTACAGGAGATGACCAGAGACTGCGGACACGGTACAGGAGATGACCAGAGACTGCGGACACGGTACAGGAGATGACCAGAGACTGCGGACACGGTACAGGAGATGACCAGAGACTGCGGACACGGTACAGGAGATGACCAGAGACTGCGGACACGGTACAGGAGATGACCAGAGACTGCGGAAACGGTACAGGAGATGACCAGAGACTGCGGAAACGGTACAGGAGATGACCAGAGACTGCGGACACGGTACAGGAGATGACCAGAGACTGGGGACACGGTACAGGAGATGACCAGGAGACTGGGACACGGTACAGGAGATGACCAGAGACTGCGGACACGGTACAGGAGATGACCAGAGACTGCGGACACGGTACAGGAGATGACCAGAGACTGCGGACACGGTACAGGAGATGACCAGAGACTGCGGACACGGTACAGGAGATGACCAGAGACTGCGGACACGGTACAGGAGATGACCAGAGACTGCGGACACGGTACAGGAGATGACCAGAGACTGCGGACACGGTACAGGAGATGACCAGAGACTGCGGACACGGTACAGGAGATGACCAGGAGACTGCGGACACGGTACAGGAGATGACCAGGAGACTGCGGACACGGTACAGGAGATGACCAGAGACTGCGGACACGGTACAGGAGATGACCAGAGACTGCGGACACGGTACAGGAGATGACCAGAGACTGCGGACACGGTACAGGAGATGACCAGAGACTGCGGACACGGTACAGGAGATGACCAGAGACTGCGGACACGGTACAGGAGATGACCAGAGACTGCGGAAACGGTACAGGAGATGACCAGAGACTGCGGAAACGGTACAGGAGATGACCAGGAGACTGCGGACACGGTACAGGAGATGACCAGAGACTGGGGACACGGTACAGGAGATGACCAGAGACTGCGGACACGGTACAGGAGATGACCAGAGACTGCGGACACGGTACAGGAGATGACCAGAGACTGCGGACACGGTACAGGAGATGACCAGAGACTGCGGACACGGTACAGGAGATGACCAGAGACTGCGGACACGGTACAGGAGATGACCAGAGACTGCGGACACGGTACAGGAGATGACCAGAGACTGCGGACACGGTACAGGAGATGACCAGAGACTGCGGACACGGTACAGGAGATGACCAGAGACTGCGGACACGGTACAGGAGATGACCAGAGACTGCGGACACGGTACAGGAGATGACCAGAGACTGCGGACACGGTACAGGAGATGACCAGAGACTGCGGACACGGTACAGGAGATGACCAGAGACTGCGGACACGGTACAGGAGATGACCAGAGACTGCGGACACGGTACAGGAGATGACCAGAGACTGCGGACACGGTACAGGAGATGACCAGAGACTGCGGACACGGTACAGGAGATGACCAGAGACTGCGGACACGGTACAGGAGATGACCAGAGACTGCGGGACACGGTACAGGGGATGACCAGAGACTGCGGACACGGTGCAGGGGATGACCAGAGACTGCTGACCTTTGGGGAGGGAGGGGGAGCGGGTACCTGAATTTGACAGGTACCCGCTCCCACTTCCGCGGAGTTGTCCTTCCTTCTTCCCGGGCCGGCTTCTGTGACAGCCGGGTGCCCACTGCGCATGCGCGAGAAGCGCTGCGCTTTGTGAATGGTCCGGCGCCTTCTGGGACCTGTCATGGTTCCCAGAAGACACCGGACCATTCACAAAGCGCAGCGCATGCACAGTGGGCACCCGGCTGTCACAGAAGCCAGCGCGGGAAGACTGCAACGCTGGAGCGAGGAACAGGTAAGGCCCTGCAGGAGAGAACAGCTGAGCGCGGCCGGCCCGGTATTCTGACATGGTGGCGGGAGAAATACCGGACCGGCCGCTTTATATTCGCTCCATAAGACGCACTGACATTTTCCCTCCGTTTTTGTGGGGAAAAAAGTGCGTCTTATGGAGCGAAAAATACAATAGTTAGTATAGGGGTTGTTTTATCTACATTTAGCCGTGCTCACTTGTCAGGAGAAGGCGTTCAGGCCGCCCGATTGCTTCCACACACGCCAGTAAAGTTCCCTCCCTAGTGGAGCACGGGAGATTTGCAGGGTCTTTTTTTTTTTTTTTTTATTGAGACGCTGCATGTCTCACAAAAGAGAACCTGTCACCAACAAATCATCACATAGGGGACTTTTTGTCCCTCGTGATGGAAAAAAAAAAAGTTAACTTAAAAAATTGTTTTTTTTTTTGTAATTGCCAGAAATTAAAGTTACATCCAAGCATGTAAAATCCTATACCCCCCCCCCCCCCCCCCATACATATACAAATGTAAGCACATGTGCGGGGGAGTCCGCATGAAAACAGTGATTACACGTTACATACCAGATTCCCTTGATAAAGTCACGTGATTGGTGACGAAACGCATTGGGGAGGAGCGTGCTGATGACGTCAAGATCGATACAGCGGTATACTGAGCCACACCGCTCCAGGATCATCATTATAGTAAGGCAATTGCATTATACATACAGGGCCCGTGCTTTGCCTTGCATTACAGTTTGGTGACAGTTGGGAGCCTGTAGTGGGTTGACTGGTCTATGCTGCTGTGGACGACACGGCCATCTTGTGCCTTAAGATGTACATTACTGGATGCTCCTCATACCTGGTGCGGTTGTGTACCTGCTGAATGCGGTTATCTGCAGGGGGCAACCTTGGAGTTAATCTTCATCAAGTTGAACTTCAGAGTCCAGTACGTTTGGGACCAAATGTATAATGTGAGGTCACACTGCTGGAGGTGAGTAGATTGACCCCCAGTTCACACCCATGTGGCCGTGCGGGCCGCGTTTTGCAAAGGCACGAGAGCCCATTCATTTGGATGGACTCCCGTGCCCGTGACACGCAGGGAAAGAAGTCCCTGCACTTCTTTTGAAACCGCAGCCCTCACGAGAACCTCGGTTCCCAGTACCGTTGCGTTTTCCAGTGCGGGCGGCGTGCCATTAGAACTAAAGGCACCTCCCGCGGGTCTGCATGTCTCTGTGCGGGTGGTGCGACTGCACAGATTTTCATGTGGATCCGCAGCGGCACCAACCGCACAGATGTGAACCGCGGGTGATGGTGGAGGAGAGTTTGCACTTGAATCCTGTGATACCTGCACACGGTGCTCGTTATCTCAAGGAGGGTCCACAGCAGAACACCAACTGATTGGACTTTGGTTTATATAATAATACTTTTTTTTTTTTTTTTTTTTTTTTAGTTCACTGTCCTGTGTTTTTGCTTTCGTTATAATCTATAGGGGTTGTGCATTTTTTGATTTTGTAGCGCAGCACATTTTTTTACGTTTACATTATTACACGTTACACATCGCCAGAGGGAGGGGCCATAATTCTAGCACCAAACCACCTCCGTAACGCTAAACTCATGACCTATAGGGGGCTTTTAAAGCGTCGCCTAAAGAAAATATAGGAATCTGAAGTTTGGCTCCTTTTTTTTTTTTTTTAGCTGGCTCCTAGATTCAAAGCACATTAGTCCATCCTATCTTACATGGTCTGAAACTGACTTACAGTCTGACTGTTTGGATTTCCAGATATGTGTTGTGTTATGGCCTGCCTAATTGGGTATAGGTTGTGTAGACCACTTGGAAGGGAGTATTTTTGCTTGTGGTGGAGGGGAAGATGTGTGTCCCGACCCCCGCGTGTTTGCGCACTCCCGACCCCCGCGTGTTGCGCACTCCCCCGACCCCCGCGTGTGTTGCGCACCCCGGCGTGTTGCGCACTACCCGACCCCCGCGTGTTGCGCACTCCCGACCCCCGCGTGTTGCGCACTCCCGACCCCCGCGTGTTGCGCACTCCCGACCCCCGCGTGTGCGCACTGTTGCCGCACCCGCGTCGCCGACCCACTCCTGACATCAACCCCTGGTTACGTTGTGTATCCTCGTCATTTGTACAATAACTCATGGAGTCTCTATAAAGACCTATGGCCTACCAGTCCCTTGTACAAGCCCAACGCAGAGCAAAACAAGTGGCGCCAGGACACCCTCAACAAGAGCTGCATTTCAGAGGTTTCCTTTAACACGGAGTTCAGCCATAACACGTCCAGTGACAGCGAAGGGAGTATTTTTGCTTGTGGTGGAGGGGGAAGATGTTTGTCCCGACCCCCGTGAGCCGCGTGTGGCGCACTCCCGACCCCCGTGAGCCGCGTGTGGCGCACTCCCGACCCCCGTGAGCCGCGTGTGGCGCACTCCCGACCCCCGTGAGCCGCGTGTGGCGCACTCCCGACCCCCGTGAGCCGCGTGTGGCGCACTCCCGACCCCCGTGAGCCGCGTGTGGCGCACTCCCGACCCCCGTGAGCCGCGTGTGGCGCACTCCCGACCCCCGTGAGCCGCGTGTGGCGCACTCCCGACCCCCGTGAGCCGCGTGTGGCGCACTCCCGACCCCCGTGAGCCGCGTGTGGCGCACTCCCGACCCCCGTGAGCCGCGTGTGGGCGCACTCCCGACCCCCGTGAGCCGCGTGTGGCGCACTCCCGACCCCCCGTGAGCCGCGTGTGGCGCACTCCCGACCCCCGCGTGTTGTGCAGTCCCCCGACCCACTCCTGACCCCCCTGCACCGTGCATTATATACTGCAATTTCCACTCTCACATTGTAATATGTATAGCCAGCTTAAACCTGACCCCAGCAGATATAAAGGGCACAAATGAACTCATCTCTGTAATGCAGTAATACAGGTTTTAAAGGGTTAGTTCATCTTTACCGAAGAAAACTACCTATGTAGTTAAGGGGCAACTATAGATAAAAACACACTGTATAGCTTTGGCTAAGTTGGATGATGCTTTTGCTATAGGTATAGGCCATTTATGTACCTCCCGAAGCCTGACTGAGAAACTCCCAGAGGTGACATCATCCCGCTCTGCCTTGTTGCCAGGACGTTGTTAAGACACTCCCAGCCAGTACTGCTCACCTCCACCATCACTGGAGAGCGCTCTCAAACCCCCACACATGTGTTGTCCACTATCTCCTCTGATTCATCAGGGGAGAGAGCGAATGTGAAGGTTGATTGGCAACAAGTTTCTCTTTGTGCCGTATTCATACCAAATGGGACTAGCCCTAATGAACCCCCTCCCCCCCTTTCCTCCTAAAAGCCTGACCATGACTGGTTCTCTTTAACTTTGTGTCTTGGAATAGGGAGATAATCCGGAAAAGGATCTGTCTATAGGAAGTGACTTCTCTGACATAGAAGATATGGGCACGTTGGCCAGATTTTCTCAGGAAGACGAGCCTCTCCCGGGCTGTCCCATGGAAGACCGCACAGCTGGGACATCAACCCCTGGTTACGTTGTGTATCCTCGTCATTTGTACAATAACTCATGGAGTCATTATAAAGACCTATGGCCTACCAGTCCCTTGTACAAGCCCAACGCAGAGCAAAACAAGTGGCGCCAGGACACCCTCGACAAGAGCTGCGTTTCAGAGGTTTCCTTTAACGCGGAGCTCAGCCATAACACGTCCAGTGACAGCGACGGCGAGATTCAACCGCGACGGGACAGATCGCGATCCTTTGATACAATGTGGACGTCGGATGACAAAAGGAAAGCTGCACGAAGGACGTTGGAGATTTTTCCCACCGACGATTCCAGCACCCCAAAGTTCCTGCGCGACGGCTTCATAGACACTCACTGCCACCTGGACATGCTCTTTGCGCGGCTGCAGCATAAGCGTTCGTTCGCCGATCTCCGCAGGCAGTACGCCTCCACCTTCCCCTCGGAGTTTCAGGGCTGCATCACGGATTACTGCGACCCCCGCACGTTAGAGAGACTTCCTTGGCGGCACGTGCTGAACGAGAACCTGGTCTGGGGGGCGTTCGGGTGTCACCCTCACTTCGCACAGTACTACACCGACCAACTACAGGAGGAGATGATGCAGGCTATGCGGCACCCCAAAGCGATCGCTTATGGGGAGATGGGCCTGGATTACTCCCACAAATGTTCCACGACCGTCCCGGATCAGCATGCCGTAAGTCTAAATGGTTATTTGCATCTTGAGCGGTACGATAGGTAAGAAAGAGAGCACAGGATACTGGAGTCAGTTAACCTCTTGGCGCTAGCCGAACGCAAATGTCCGGCGTCTGGGCCTAGACGCTGAGTGGCCGCACATTTGCGTTCTGTTAAAAAAAAAAAACCTGCTGAGAGCGCTCGCCCTGCATGCTCCCAGCACACGTACTCATGGAAAGTTCCCGATCTCCTCTTTTGATCGGGACCTTTTCCGATCATGTGACCGCCGTGAGGGTGTGTCACAGCAGTCACATGACCCTAAACCCTGCCCCGCCTACCGGCTTCTGAAACCCTTAAAGCCCCGGGAAGCGCTGGTGCCAAGGGGTTAACCTTTTTGCTGCTAGGCCAGTATATCATACGGGGGTTTTACACACAATTTTGTGGCTGCAGCCACCAGGATTGTGTGCAAAACTGACAAGCAGACGCCTGACGAATGGAAGCATTCAGGTGGTTGCACTGCTGCCCGATTGCTTCCACACAGCCCAGGTAACTCGTCCATCTGCGGGCTCGGGAGCAACATGGTGGTGAGGGGAGGGAGGAGAGCGGACTCGTGCGCTCTCCTCTTCTTGTTGTGACCCGGAAAGTGATGGCATCATTTCCGGGTCACCTGTCACTTTCCATTGGTTCCCGCTGCCTGACAGATGGAAGAATTCGGGCGGCTGCGCTGCTGCCCGATTGCTTCCACACAGCCCAGGTAACTCACCCATCTGCGGGCTCGGGAGCAACATGGTGGTGAAGGGAGGGAGGAGAGCAGACATGGGCGCTCTCCTTCATCTCTTGTTGTGACCCGGAAAGCTATGGCATCATTTCCGGGTCACCTGTCACTTTCCATTGGTTCCCGCTGCTGTCAGTCACAGCCAGTGATGAGAGAGGGGGCGGGGCCGAGCAGTGCTTCTGTGTGTGGATCGATGCACAGCAGCACCTCAGGACTGAACATGCTTGGGTACCCCCATAACAAGCTGCTTTCTCCAGGGGCACCTGGCAGGAGGGAGGGGCCAGGAGCCCAAGAAAAGGAGAATCGGGGCTGCTCTGTGTAAAACCATTACACAGAGCAGGTAATTATAACGTTTTTTTTTTTTTTTGAAGGTTTTTTTTTTTTTTTTTTTTAAATGCCTCTAATATCACTTTAAAAAAACACATCAAGCTAATTGTCCCATGCATTAAAAGAAAAAATCAAAATGTCCCAAATATTTACCTAAATCCGCAGTTCTGCAACATGGAAGAGCAAGAGGGTATTTAGATCTTTGCCTGATGGCTCAGGGACTTCTTGGGTTCTTAACACTTCAGAGGCGTGGTGTCATCTGAACAACGGGTACCATTGGGACCATTTGGCAGCATGCCCACACTTCAGCAGCGGCTCACTGGTCCTCACTTCTGGAGGAGGCACCACAGAAGGTCATGTGATGGCAGATTCTGACGAGTCAAAAGGAGTTTAAGAATATATATATCTCATTATTATTATATAACCCCAGTCTTGGGCCCCGCCTCCCACTGAGCTGCTTTTTTTATTTTTAAAGTGCTATTAAAGGCTCAGTTTCTATTTACCAATAATACACATGTGATACTTACCTGCTCTCTGTTTTGTACAGAGCATTCCCAATTTTCCTCTTCTCGGGTCTCCGCTGGTGTTACTGGCTCCTCCCCCTGCTGAGTGCCCTCATAGCAAACCGCTTGCTATTGAGGGCACTTGTGTGTGCTCGCTCTTGAGCCCCCGCTGTGTGTGTCCATTGACACACACAGCAGGGCTCGGCCCTGGCCTGCCCCGCTGCCTCCTTACTGGTTGTGATTGGCAGCAGTGGGAGCCAGTGACTCCTGCTGCTGTCTCTGAGCCAAGGAGGAGGCAGAAAGCCTGGAGAGCTGCTGCTCTCATGCTCATCTCTGGATCGGTAAGTATTAGGGGGTGAAGCTGCACACAGAAGGTTTTTTACCTTCAGCCCGGGTTCTCACTGATGCGATGCGGAATTGCCAGCGTTTTCTGTGTGAATTCCGCACAGCATCAGAATCGCGCTCCGTTCATACGAACCGCTGTGCAAGGTCCCGATCATGTGATCACTGATTGGCCAATAAGTGATCACATGAAGAGTAGTAAGGAAGATGTCACTTCTGACATCATTGCTTACTACGTGTGAAATCTGCGAATGATCACAGAGATCACATGGTACAGGGCTATTCACAACAGCCTTGTACCATGTGACAAGCTGTGACCAATCACAGCTCTCACAGTATTTCTCAATGGCTGCAAGAATGCTGCCAGAGAGAAGGAGAAATGATTGCTTTTACAGCCTTTATGGGTGTAAAAGCAATCGGTGTAAAAAAAAATCTTCATTACTCGCCACAAGTAGTACAGTGTCACCATGGTGACACTGTGCTGCTAGGGGTGACAGTAGGAAAAAAAAACATAAAAAATAATATATAAGAAAAAAAAATTTTAAAAACAATTTTTTTGTAAATTATAATTTTTGGTTATGAACTAATTTGGGTTATTTTTCTTTATTTTTACTAAAAAGATAACGGAATAAATTTTGACTAAGATTTATGAAGAAAAATTTAGTTGCAAAATTTTAGATTTAAAGGCACTTTTTTTCTAAATTTTTGGACTTTTTCATTTATATAGCAAAAAAAAAAAATCCCAGTGGTGAATAAATACCACCAAAATAAAGTTTTATCTGTCTCAAAAAAATGCTAAAAAATTCACCTGGGTACAGTGTTGCATGACCGCGCAATTGTCATTCAAAGTGTGATAGAGCTGAAAGCTGAAAATTGGCCTGGACTGGAAGGGGGGGAAAGTGTCCGGACTGGAAGGGGGGGAAAGTGTCCGGACTGGAAGGGGGGGGGGGGGGGAAGTGGGGGGAAGGGGGGGGGGGAAGTGTCCGGACTGGAAGGGGGGGGGGGAAAGTGTCCGGACTGGAATGGAGTGAAAGTGTCGGACTGGAAGGGGGGGGGGGGGGGGAAAGTGTCCGGACTGGAAGGGAGTGAAAGTGTCCGGACTGGAAGGGGCGGTGAAAGTGTCCGGACTGGACTGGAAGGGGGTGGGGAGTGTCCGGACTGGAAGGGGTGAAAGTGTCCGGACCGCGCAATTGTCATTCAAAGTGTGATAGAAAATAGCTGAAAATTGGCCTGGACTGGAAGGGGGTGAAAGTGTCCGGACTGGAAGGGGGGGAAAGTGTCCGGACTGGAAGGGGGGGAAAGTGTCCGGACTGGAAGACGGTGAAAGTGTCCGGACTGGAAGACGGTGAAAGTGTCCGGACTGGAAGACGGTGAAAGTGTCCGGACTGGAAGACGGTGAAAGTGTCCGGACTGGAAGACGGTGAAAGTGTCCGGACTGGAAGACGGTGAAAGTGTCCGGACTGGAAGACGGTGAAAGTGTCCGGACTGGAAGTGTCCGGACTGGAAGACGTGAAAGTGTCCGGACTGGAAGACGGTGAAAGTGTCCGGACTGGAAGACGGTGAAAGTGTCCGGACTGGAAGACGGTGAAAGTGTCCGGACTGGAAGACGGTGAAAGTGTCCGGACTGGAAGACGGTGAAAGTGTCCGGACTGGAAGACGGTGAAAGTGTCCGGACTGGAAGACGGTGAAAGTGTCCGGACTGGAAGGGGGTGAAAGTGTCCGGACTGGAAGGGGGTGAAAGTGTCCGGACTGGAAGGGGGTGAAAGTGTCCGGACTGGAAGGGGGTGAAAGTGTCCGGACTGGAAGGGGGGGGAAAGTGTCCGGACTGGAAGGGGGGGGAAAGTGTCCGGACTGGAAGGGGGGGGGAAAGTGTCCGGACTGGAAGGGGGGGGAAAGTGTCCGGACTGGAAGGGGGGGGGGGGTGTCCGGACCGGAAGTGGTCAACATTTTGGTCTTTTCCTTCGTATACCAGTGATTGTGTGTTTTCGTATGCGGGTGGAGCTGGTTAGCAGCACAGCTTTGCACCTTTTGATATCAGCCTTGTGCTAAGTCTCCATTTCCATGTGGAAAGGTTTTCGAGAAGCAGCTGAAGCTGGCCGTGCCTCTGGGGAAGCCTCTGGTCATTCATTGCCGAGATGCAGACGAGGACCTGTTCAGGATCATGAAGAAGTGGGTTCCCCATGACTACAAGATACATCGGTGAGCAGTCTGTCCAGTCTTGTGCCAACATCTTCTGGCCGTGATTATACTGTACAATCATCAATTAATAATCATCCCAATTAGACACTTCTTAACCACAACCCTCGGATCATCGTTCCTCAATCAGTGATCACATGAATAGGAGTAAGCAAGATGTCACTTCTGACATCACTGCTTACTACGTGTGAAATCTGTGAATGATCACAGAGGTCACATGGTACAGGGCTATTCACAACAGCCTTGTACCATATGACAAGCTGTGACCAATCACAGCTCACACAGTATTTAGTAGGACGGGAGCAGTGCAGGGGCGGTTGGCCATTTATAAATATCCTCCCGCTTCCCTGCCTGTGCGCGCTCCCAGGGAACGCGTGGCACCACAATCCGGTGCCTGCTGTGTCCTCTGGATCGCTGTACGTAACCTCTGTGTGAGGTCCCGATCAAGTGATCACTGATTGGCCAATCAGTGATCACATGAAGAGTAGTAAGCAAGATGTCACTTCTGATATTTCTTACTACGTGTGAAATCTGTGAATGATCACAGAAATCACATGGTACAGGGCTATTCACAACAGCCTTGTACCATGTGACAAGCTGTGACCAATCACAGCTCACTCAGTATTTCTCAATGGCTGCAGGAATGCAGCCAGAGAGAAGGAGAAATGATTGCTTTTACAGACTTTATGGGTGTAAAAGCAATCGGCATAAAAAAAAAAAAAAGAAAAAAAAAAATCTTCATCACCCCCCACAAGTACAGGGTCAGTATGGTGACACTGTACTGCTAGGGTGACAGTATGGTAAAAAAAAACATAAATAATATAAAAATGTAAAACAACATTTTGAAAAATTATAATTTTTGGTTATAAACTAATTTGGGTTTTTTTTTTAAAAAAGATAGCTGAATACATTTTGCCCAAGATTAATGAAAAAAGATTATTTATTTGCAAAAGTTTATAAGAAAACACTTTTTTTCACAATTTTTGGACTCTTTCATTTATATAGCAAAAAAAAATAATCCCAGTGGTGAATAACACCAAAAAATAAAGTTTTATCTGTCTCAAAAAAAAAAAAATGCTAAAAAACTCATATGGGTGCAGTGTTGCATGACCGTGTAATCGTCATTGAAAGTGTGATAGCACTGAAAGCTGAAAATTGGCCTGGGCTTGAAGGGGTTAATGCGCTTATATTTTGCCTTCCCTGGTCATTTAATCAGAGTTCTCTGTTTTCAGACATTGCTTTACTGGCAGCTACAGAGACATTGAACCCTTCCTCAATGAATTTCCGAACATGTCTGTGGGCTTTACCGCCGTCCTGACGTACCCTTCAGCAGCGAGTGCGCGGGACGCTGTCAGCCAGATCCCCCTGGACAAGCTGATCATAGAAACAGATGCTCCGTTCTTTGTACCCAGACAGGTAATCCAGGACAGGTGACCAATCATAGAGACCGGGCCGTGCGAGACGTCTCCTCCCTACCCACAGCAACCGCACTCTGTATGTCTTCCATCCTGTAGCAGATGGTTCATACAAACGGTTCTCCTTCCATTCTACAAAAATGTCTTCAGTTCTCTCTCTTCTCTCGCTTCGCTTTCTCTCTCCCCTCTCCGCTTCGCTTTCTCTCCCGCTTCGCTTTCTCTCTCCCCCTTCGCTTTCTCTCTCCCCCTTCGCTTTCTCTCTCCCCCTTCGCTTTCTCTCTCCCCCTTCGCTTTCTCTCTCCCCCTTCGCTTTCTCTCTCCCCCTTCGCTTTCTCTCTCCCCCCCTTCGCTTTCTCTCTCTCCCCCTTCGCTTTCTCTCTCCCCCTTCGCTTTCTCTCCCCCTTCGCTTTCTCTCGCCCCCCACTTTCTCTCCCTCGCTTCGCTTTCTGTCTCTCTCGCTTCGCTTTCTGTCTCTCTCGCTTCGCTTTCTCTCTCTCTCTCTTTGCTTTCTCTCTCTCGCTTTTCTCTCTCTCCCGCTTTGCTTTCTCTCTCTCCCCCCCCCCCTTTCACTTTCTTTCTCCCCCCGCTTCGCTTTCTCTCTCCCGCTTCGCTTTCTCTCTCTCTCCCGCTTCGCCTTCTCTCTCTCCCCTTCCTTCCCTCTCTCCCTCTCCCCCCCTCTCTCGCTTCGCTTTCTCTCTCTCTCTCTTCCTCTAGCTTCGCTCTCTCTCTCCCGCTTCGCTTTCTCTCTCTCCCGCTTCGCTTTCTCTCTCTCTCCCCCGCTTCGCTTTCTCTCCCGCTTCGCTTTCTCTCTCCCGCTTCGCTTTCTCTCTCTCCCGCTTCGCTTTCTCTCTCTCTCCGCTTCGCTTTCTCTCTCTCTCCCGCTTCGCTTTCTCTCTCTCTCCCGCTTCGCTTTCTCTCTCTCTCCCGCTTCGCTTTCTCTCTCTCTCTCCCCCTTCGCTTTCTCTCTCTCTCCCGCTTCGCTTTCTCTCTCTCTCCCGCTTCGCTTTCTCTCTCTCTCCCGCTTCGCTTTCTCTCTCCCGCTTCGCTTTCTCTCTCCCCGCTTCGCTTTCTCTCTCCCGCTTCGCTTTCTCTCTCCCGCTTCGCTTTCTCTCTCCCCCGCTTCGCTTTCTCTCTCTCCCGCTTCGCTTTCTCTCTCCCGCTTCGCTTTCTCTCTCTCTCCCGCTTCGCTTTCTCTCTCTCCCGCTTCGCTTTCTCTCTCTCCCGCTTCGCTTTCTCTCTCTCCCGCTTCGCTTCCCTTTCTCCCTCCCCCGCTTCCCTTTCTCCCTCCCCCGCTTCCCTTTCTCCCTCCCCGCTTCCCTTTCTCCCTCCCCCGCTTCCCTTTCTCCCTCTCTCTCTCTCTCGCCCCTTCCCTTTCTCCCTCTCTCGCTTCCCTTTCTCCCTCTCCTCTCTCTCTCTCGCTTCCCTTCTCCCTCTCTCTCTCTCTCTCGCTTCCCTTTCTCCCTCTCTCTCTCTCTCTCGCTTCCCCCCCTCCCTCTCTCTCTCGCTTCCCTTCCTCCCTCTCTCTCTCTCTCTCGCTTCCCTTTCTCCCTCTCTCTCTCTCCCCCGCTTCCCTTTCTCCCTCTCTCTCTCTCCCGCTTCCCTTTCTCTCTCTCTCTCTCTCCCGCTTCCCTTTCTCTCTCTCTCTCTCCGCTTCCCTTTCTCTCTCTCTCCCTCTCCCCCCTTCCCTTTTCTCTCTCTCTCCCGCTTCCCCCCCTCTCTCTCCCCCGCTCCCTTTCTCTCTCCCGCTTCGCTTTCTCTCTCCCCGCTTCCCTTTCTCTCTCTCCCCGCTTCCCTTTCTCTCTCTCTCTCCTGCTTCCCTTTCTCTCTCTCTCCCGCTTCCCTTTCTCTCTCTGCTTTCTCTCTCTCTCTCGCTTCGCTTTTCTCTCTGCTTTCTCTCTCTCTCGCTCGCTTCGCTTTCTCTCTCTGCTTTCTCTGTCTCGCTTTGCTTTCTCTCCCTGCATCGGAGGACCTTACACTCTACTGTCCCCCAGCAGTCATACATTATTATTATTCATTTATATAGCTCCAGCATATTCCATAGTGCTGTACAGAGAACACTGAGCCAATTGCAGCATTCTCTGCACCAGAGGAGCTTACAGTCATATATATACATACACACACGCACAGGCACACACGCACACACGCACAGGCACACACGCACAGGCACACACGCACAGGCACACACGCACATGCACAGGCACACACGCACAGACACACACGCACAGGCACACACGCACAGGCACACACGCACAGACACACACGCACACACAGTAAGATCAGTTTGGAAGCATATTAACGTGCCGTATGGTTCACCCCTGAAGCCTCAGTAAAATGTGGCGGTTATACAAACTCCATGTATTCACTTTGTAGGAATAATCCATATTTTGATTTATTTCCAGGTATCTAAAAGCCTGTGTAAATTTGCACACCCAGGTCTCGCCCTGCACACTGTTGAGGAAATCGCCCGGGTCAAGAACTTACCCCTGAAATCCGTTATGGCAAGTGTCCGTGAAAACACTTACCGGCTCTATAATATATAAGTGCCTTATGACCCGGGGGGGGGGTCTTTGATGAAAATGTTCTGTTTTTGTTTTTGAGGAAGAAGCCCGTTGGTGCCTTGTTTTAAATTGAATGTCTTTGTTGGGAGTTCTGGACTCAGAATAACCAGCGTTTTGTTTACCACTTTTTATTGGATGACGTCTATTAAACAATAGATTTATTTCGTATTTCAGTTGGATTCTTCACCTCACTATGTTACCTCCATACATTGACATCATATTCTGGTTTTACTACTGAAATACACCGATCAGCCATAACATTATGACCACCTAGCTAATATTGAGTAGGTCTCCCTTTTTGCTGCCAAAGGGCCCTGACCCCACGGACCGTCCATGGAGAGTTGAAGGCATTGTCAGTACTGTGATCTCTGAGGTTAATAAATACCTGGAGGTGTTACATTGACGTGTTACTGGGCATACTGCTGTAAACATGGAGAATTATATCTGATGTTTAATCTGCACCATCCTCTGATACCCAGATGAACTGTTTGTATTGCTCTCCAACAACCAGCTGCAATTTTCATTCTATTAAACTGCACTGGAAGAATGAAAGGGAGCCATGTAAACCCCTGAGGATAGGGGAGCGGTACATGATGGGGATCTGGGGGTATTGGCCCAACATCTGCTGCATCCCACAAAGCCCCCAAGGATAGGGGAGCGGTACATGATGAAGATCTGGGGTATTGGCCCAACATCTTCTGCATCCCACAAAGCCCCCAAGGATAGGGGAGCGGTACATGATGAAGATCTGGGGTATTGGCCCAACATTGTCTGCATCCCACAAAGCCCCCAAGGATAGGGGAGCGGTACATGATGAAGATCTGGGGTATTGGCCCAACATCTTCTGCATCCCACAAAGCCCCCAAGGATAGGGGAGCGGTACATGATGGAGATCTGGGGTATTGGCCCAACATTGTCTGCATCCCACAAAGCCCCCAAGGATAGGGGAGCGGTACATGATGAAGATCTGGGGTATTGGCCCAACATTGTCTGCATCCCACAAAGCCCCCAAGGATAGGGGAGCGGTACATGATGGAGATCTGGGGTATTGGCCCAACATTGTCTGCATCCCACAAAGCCCTCAAGGATAGGGGAGCGGTACATGATGATGGAGATCTGGGGTATTGGCCCAACATTGTCTGCATCCCACAAAGCCCTCAAGGATAGGGGGGAGCGGTACATGATGAGGATCTGGGGCATTTGCTCAACATCTTCTGTATCCAAAAAAGCACAACTAACAGCTTCTGCCATAAATATAGTTTATTTCAGGTTACACCGAGATAATAAAGACATTAGGGTAGTGTCCAGGAGGGGTACCAGAGATTTGCAGATTTTCATTCTCATTGGCTCTCAGGATTTTCCTTCTTGCCCTCTGTATCTGGAAAGGAAGAGACAAGCTATCATACACCAGCCTTCAGGAGGAGTCCCCCTTGTACTTTATTTTGCCCGTTCCGGGTACAGTGACAGGTTCTCTTCAAAGAAGAACTACCCCCCCCCCCCCACCTACTGTTACCCCCATGCACAAATGCATGTGTGTGTGTATATATATATATATATATATTTATTTATTTATTTTTTTTTTCATCCATTTACTTGCTGCCATTCCTCACTTCTAATTGACACATATATATATATATATATACACACATATCTCAACAAATAATAAAAGTCCACAAAAATAAAAATCATCCCCTGTGGAGTGTGCAGTATGTGTGCGGTACGTGCGTGGGGTGTGTGTGCAATGTGCGCGCAGTGTGTGTGGTATGTGCGCGGTGTGTGGAGTGTGCAGTATGTGTGGGGTGTGGGGGTGTGCGTGGTATGTGTGGGGTGTGCGGTATGTGCGTGGTGTGCGGTATGTGCGTGGTGTGTGGTATGTGTGCGATGTGCGCGCGTGTGTAGTGGTGTGTGCAGTATGTGCATGGCAGTTTGTGCAGTGTGTGGTGTATGTGCACGGTGTGCAGTATGAGCGCGGTGTGTTGTATGTGTGCGGTACGTGTGTGGGGTGTGTAGTATGTACGTGGGGTGTGTGTGTGTGCAGTGTGTGGGGTGTGTAGTATGTACGTGGGGTGTGTGTGTGTGGTGTGTGCGTGGTATGAGCGCAGTGTGTCCTTACCTTGTGATGACCCCAGAGAGAGGAAGGAGTACAAGAAGTCCTTCACCGCAGCCTTCTGCTTCTGGAACTGCTCCTGCGTCATCTTCATACTCATATCCAGAGGGAAGGTCACCTGGAAGTCCAGAAAGGAAGCTTAGCGGGATCCTGTGGTGGGCAGTATGTGGTGGTATACATGGCTGTATACATGGCAATATATATGGGTGTATACGTGGTTGTATGTCTGGGTGTATACGTGGCGTATACTGGGTGTATACGTGGTTGTATTAGTGGCTGTATATGTGTCGGTATACGTGGCTGTATACATGATTGTATATGTGGGTGTATACGTGGCGGTATACATGGTAGTATATGTGGCGGTATACATGGTAGTATATGTGGCGGTATACATGGGTTTATATGTGGCGGTATACGTGGTATATATGTGGCGGTATACGTGGCTGTATACATGATTGTATATGTGGGTGTATACGTGGCGGTATACATGGGTTTATATGTGGTAGTATATGTGGCGGTATACATGATTGTATATGTGGGTGTATACGTGGCGGTATACATGGGTGTATACATGGGTTTATATGTGGTAGTATATGTGGCGGTATACATGGGTGTATACGTGGCGGTATTACGTACATTTGCTATGTTGCCCAAATAACCAACCTAAAGCCCAGTTCCAGGTTTATGATCTTTTAGCGGGACTCCAGTATTGGTAAATATAAAAGACGAAGCTCTGGCTGCAACACTCCCCCCCTCCTCTCTGGCGGTGTCCCCTGCACTGCACTGCACAATCCAGCATCGGCCCTCATTTGTAGTAGGGGGGGGGGGGGGGTCCCTGTAGGGAACAGCTGACAACCTTTCTTAGGATTTCAGTGCAGCAGAGGCAGTGTGTTGTCAGCTCACCATACGAAGTCAGTAGCTCTCTGGATTTCTGGCAGGATCAAGGAGTGTTGTTCCGTACCGGCAGCATTTTTAAAAAACTTTGATGAAACCTTTAAAATAATGACGTGTGTGCAGTGTTTAAAGATGAAGTTTCATCTGCCTATAGTTTGCCTCCGCTGGTCCCTCCTCCTTATCAACATACTAATGACATTTTAAAATAAATCCTTTCTCTTGTTATTACATATATCAGATCCAGTGATGTCATCACTGGGTCTCTGTGCTTCTCTATGCAATTCAAGCAGATCATGGCTGGTGGGAGGGGCTGGCAGAGTGATGTACATAGCATCTTAAAAAACATCACAACACCCTGCCTCAGTACTCCTCTCTCTTCCTTGTTCTTTCGAGGGGTTATGCAAATATCCAAATTCCATGATGGGTGGGTTTCAGCCTAGAGAAATGGGCATTCCTAGGCAGGCTGTATCTGCACACAGACCATTCTAGGTACCACCCACATAATGCTGAGCCTCCATGATTGAAAGAACTGAAATCCAATAAATGAAAGGGGCGGGGAAGGAAAGGGCTAGCTGATGCTGATTCAGACAGAAAATGAGGTGGAGCTCTGTCTGACTTGCTGCAGCTTCTAATGCACATTGTGAGACGCTCAGAGTGTGCAGTGACATCAGAGGAAGCCGTTTCAGTCCAGGGGAGGAGCCGGTACACCTGTGCAAGACTGGAGGGAGGAGCCACTACAAACTGGGCAAGACTGGAGAGGGGAGGAGCCGGTACAACTGTGCAAGACTGGAGGGGAGGAGCCACTACAACTGGTGGACAGTACAACTGTGCAAGACTGGAGGGGAGGAGCCACTACAACAGGGCAAGACTGGAGGGGAGGAGCCGGTACAACTGTGCAAGACTGGAGGGGAGGAGCCACTACAACTGGGCAAGACTGGAAGGGGAGGAGCCGGGGGAGGAGGTACAAGACTGAACTGTGCAAGACTGGAGGGGAGGAGCCACTACAACTGGGCAAGACTGGAGGGGAGGAGCCGGTACAACTGTGCAAGACTGGAGGGGAGGAGCCACTACAACTGGGCAAGACTGGAGGGGAGGAGCCGGTACAACTGCAAGGCTGGAGGGGAGGAGCCACTACAACAGGGCAAGACTGGAGGGGAGGAGCCGGTACAACTGTGCAAGACTGGAGGGGAGGAGCCACTACAATTGGGCAAGACTGGAGGGGAGGAGCCACTACAACTGGGCAAGATTGAAGGGGAGGAGCCGGTAGACCGGAGCAAGACTGGAGGGGAGGAGGTGGTATACCTGAGCAAGACTGAAGGGGAGGAGCCGGTACACCTGCGCAAGACTGAAGGGGAGGAGCCGGTACACCTGCGCAAGACTGAAGGGGAGGAGCCGGTACACCTGTGCAAGACTGAAGGGGAGGAGACGAAGGTCGGCTTTAAACTATATTGTGCACGATGCAAAGTACACATGCTGGGAGTTGTAGTCCCACTGCAGCTGGTTGTAAAAATGGAATTATAATCATGAAAGAGCAGCATGAAGAATACGAACCCCGATCTCCTCCTCGGCCAGGTCATCCTCCACACCCCTGCGATTCATATTGCCGTGTCTCAGCTTATTCTGCGATTGCCTCTCCTGGACACAGAGAGAAAACCAATCCATTGTTAGTGCCGATGTCTTCTAATGGAATCATTTCATTTTACTTAATTGTTACATCTGGACAGGCTCCTGAGGTATCTGTGTTGCTCAGATTCCACACAAGGCAGCTGTAGCTATCAGTTTGGGGCAAAAAATCAAATGTTATTATGATAGTTTCTCTCCAGGTCGAATGTTATTCATTCCTAAAGAATAGAGCGAGTCAGAAAAATTCCACATGGCCACTAGATGGAGCTGACAGTCATAGGCAATAAATACTTATCTACTATGATTGTCAGCGCCATCTAGTGGCCATAATGTGGTATTTTCCCAATTTACTTTAATCCTAACAAATAAATAGCATTCAACCTAGAGCAATGGTGGTCAACTGAAAAATTATAGAGGGGCTCAAATGCCGACCCCAACACGTCTAGTGGGCCGTACAATAGCAGCGAAATTTCGCCCCTCAATGCTCAGAAATGCTTGTCTTCTTGCATTTTTTGCAGCTTATTACAATGCAGACTAAAAAAGTTGGAGTACAATAGCCCTCAGTGCTGATGCAATAATAACCCCCAACAGTGGTGTCGATGGACGCAATAATAACCCCCAGCATTGGTGTCGATGGACGCAATAATAACCCCCAGCATTGGTGTCGATGGACGCAATAATAACCCCCAGCATTGGTGTCGATGGACTCAATAATAACCCCCAACAGTGGTGTCGATGGACTCAATAATAACCCCCAGCATTGGTGTCAGTGGACTCAATAATAACCCCCAGCATTGGTGTCGATGGACTCAATAATAACCCCCAGCATTGGTGTAGATGGACTCAATAATAACCCCCAGCATTGGTGTCGATGGACTCAATAATAACCCCCAGCATTGGTGTCGATGGACTCAATAATAACCCCCAGCATTGGTGTCGATGGACTCAATAATAACCCCCAACAGTGGTGTCGATGGACGCAATAATAACCCCCAGCATTGGTGTCGATGGACGCAATAATAACCCCCAGCATTGGTGTCGATGGACTCAATAATAACCCCCAACAGTGGTGTCGATGGACTCAATAATAACCCCCAGCATTGGTGTCAGTGGACTCAATAATAACCCCCAGCATTGGTGTCAGTGGACTCAATAATAACCCCCAGCATTGGTGTCGATGGACTCAATAATAACCCCCAACAGTGGTGTCGATGGACGCAATAATAACCCCCAGCATTGGTGTCGATGGACGCAATAATAACCCCCAGCATTGGTGTAGATGGACTCAATAATAACCCCCAACAGTGATGTCAGTGGACTCAATAATAACCCCCAGCATTGGTGTCAATAGACGCAATAAAAACCCCCAGCATTGGTGTCATTGGACTCAATAATAACCCCCAGCATTGGTGTCAATAGACGCAATAATAACCCCCAGCATTGGTGTCGATGGACTCAATAATAACCCCCAACAGTGGTGTCAGTGGACTCAATAATAACCCCCAGCATTGGTGTCAATAGACGCAATAATAACCCCCAGCATTGGTGTCATTGGACTCAATAATAACCCCCAGCATTGGTGTCAATAGACGCAATAATAACCCCCAGCATTGGTGTCAATAGACGCAATAATAACCCCCAGCATTGGTGTCAATAGACGCAATAATAACCCCCAGCATTGGTGTCATTGGACTCAATAATAACCCCCAGCATTGGTGTCAATAGACGCAATAATAACCCCCAGCATTGGTGTCAATGAACTCAATAATAAACACCAACAGTGGTGTCAGTGGATGCAATAATAACTGCGTCGCTCTCTCTCTCCCCCCAGGGCAGCAAATCATAACCACAATCAGATTGCACAGTGCATGGTCAACCTGAGAACCCGGGAGTTGTCACCCCTCAGCGGCTCTATCACTAGCGATCAAAGCTCTGCAGCATTACAGCCTGCGATGGTGCGACTCCCATGTGAGAAAGTGGCAGTTGTATTGACCAGCCCCCTCCCCCTTCCCAGACTTAGAGAACACTCTGCAGATTTTTGAATATAAAATGATGAGATAATCACGACTTACTGCGATCTTCTGCATGTCGGCTGGACTCAGGAAGGTCAGCCCAGCCTGGGCCTCCTCCGTCCATAGCAGGCAGGACAAGACCACCCCAAAGATAGCGACTTTACCGAAATTCATCCCGAAGTCCTGCTCACTGCCGGCGCCTGCAAGATAAAAACTGTACAGACCAGAGGCTGGCGTGAAACTGATTCCGCATAAAGATCACCAGAAAAAAAAATGCTTGAGGACCAGGAATGGAAGCCATATTACATAGTTAGTCTGGCTGAAAAAAAGACAAAAGTCCATCCAGTTCAACCATTAAAAAAAAAAAAAAAAAGTTCTAATCCTACACCCACAGATGGTATTGTCCCGATACACGGGCAGACTCTGCTTTCTGTTCAGTAATATTAAACAGTGGTTGTGCTTTGTTGATCCTTTCCGCAAGTCTATGAGTCAGCCGACCAACTGAAAACAATGCACCCCCCATGCAGCTGATATCTTTTTTTTTTTTGCAAATTATTTTTTAATTTTTTTATTTTACATTTTTTATCTTATTATCTTATACCACATTTTTTTTTTTTTAAATAAAGTAATATCACTGAGAGCGCCCTCCAGCAACTGATATAAAAATTATTACAATTACAAAAATACGGAAGAGCAAGCATGATAATATATATATATACACGCTATGTTGCCGAAAGTATCGGGCCGCCGGCCTTTCCACGCCCATGACCTTTAATGGCCCCCCAGTCTTAGTCCGTAGGGTTCAGTATTGAGTTGGCCCCACCCTTTCCACACACATGACCTTTAATGGCCCCCCAGTCTTAGTCCGTAGGGTTCAGTATTGAGTTGGCCTCACCCTTTCCACACACATGACCTTTAATGGCCCCCCAGTCTTAGTCCGTAGGGTTCAGTTTTGAGTTGGCCCCACCCTTTCCACGCCCATGACCTTTAATGGCCCCCCAGTCTTAGTCCGTAGGGTTCAGTATTGAGTTGGCCCCACCCTTTCCACACACATGACCTTTAATGGCCCCCCAGTCTTAGTCCGTAGGGTTCAGTATTGAGTTGGCCCCACCCTTTCCACACACATGACCTTTAATGGCCCCCCAGTCTTAGTCCGTAGGGGTCAATATGGAGTTGGCCCCACCCTTTGCAGGTATAACAGCTTCAACTCTTCTGGGAAGGCCGTCCACAAGGTTTAGGAGGGTGTCTATGGGAAGGTTGGACCATTCTTCCAGAAGCACATTTGTCAGGTCAGGCACTGATGTCGGGGGAGGAGGCCCGGCTCACAGTCTCCGCTCTAATTCATCCCAAAGGTGTTCTATGGGGTTGAGGTCAGGATTCTGTGCAGGACAGTCAAGTTCCTCCACCCCAAACTGGCTCCTCCATGTCTTTATGGACCTTGCTTTGTGCACTGGTGGGCAGTCATGTTGGAACAGGAAGGGGCCATCCCCAAACTCTTCCCACAAAGTTGGGAGCATGAAATTGTCCAAAATGTTGCCTTAAGAGTTCCCTTCACTGGAACTAGGGGGCCAAGCCCAACCCCTGAAAAATAACCCCACACCGTAATCCCCCCTCCACCAAACTTTACACTTGGCACAATGCAGTCAGGTAAGTACCGTTCTCCTGGCAACCGCCAAACCCAGACACGTCCATCGGATTGCCAGACAGAGAAGTGTGATTGGTCACTCCAGAGAACACATCTCCTCTGCTCTAGAGTCCAGTGGCAGCGTGCTTTACACCACGGCATCCAACGCTTTGCATTGCACTTGGTGATGGAAGGCTTGGATGCAGCTGCTCGGCCATGGAAACCCATTCCATGAAGCTCTCTACGCACTGTTGTTGGGCTCATCTGAAGGCCACACCAAGTTTGGAGGTCTTTAGCTATTGACTCTGCAGACAGTTGGCGACTTCTGCGCACTGTGCGCTTCAGCATGCGCTGACCCCGCCCTGTCATGTGACGTGGCCTACCACTTGGTGGCTGAGTGGCTGTTGTTCCCAGTTGCTTCCACTTGGTTATAATCCCACTAACAGTTGAGCGTGGAATATTTAGTAGCCAGGAAATGTCACGGATGGACTTATTGCACAGGGGGCCACCTATCACAGATGTAAACGGATAAAAAATGGATGAAAAATGGATGTAAACGGATAAAAAAAACAGATGCAAACATCCGTTTTTTTCTTTGAAAGGGCTCTTTCACACTGATGTTCTGATCTGGTCCACCTGTCTGTTTTTCAGGCGGACCCAATTGGAACCTCCATTCTCCTCTATGGAGCAGCGGGTGTAAACGGACATGTGTCTGTTTACACCCACCGACATCCAATCCGCCCCGTTGGATCGGGTCGGATGAAAACTGACAGGAGGTCCATTTTCATCCGACCGCCCATTGAAGAGAGAGAACAGCTCTGTGCAGAGCTGTCATCCGCTTGCTCAGCGGAGAGATCCTCCACCGAGCTTAACGGGCCCGCCCCGTGTGAAAGGACCCTAAAAATCCCCACTGTGGGAAACATGCTGGAGAGTCAGACTGCTGCTCTCACACATCGAGCAGTGGCCCGGCTCTCCTGCGATCTGACCCCCTCCTCCAATCAACACTATTCAGGGATGGGGAGTGTTAGACCACCGGAGAGCCGCTGCATTTTGTGTGGGGGAGCACAGGTCCAACTCTGCTGCCAGTGCGCTGGGGATTTAACCCTTAGCAAACTAAAAGCGCCCCATATTTATTGCTGTATATTTCAGCCTGACCAAATTACTATGATACATACAGAGGGCTTGGTATTGCTTTCAGATGCAGTGTATATATATATATATATATATATATATATATATATATATATATACGCATATATGTAAAGTGCTGCGTAAATTGATGGCGCTATATAAGTACCTGAAATAAATAAATCAATAAAATAGACTGCGCTGTTCACCCACCCGACTTACGTGAAGTTTCCTGCGTGAAGTGTCCCTCTCTGTACATCAGCTCCGTATTTATAGGAAAGATCAATGATGGGATTTTTGGGTCACTGGAGGAACACGGATTCCACATTGGAACGTCCTCGGAAACATTTCTCGGTTCCGTTGTTGCGGTGTTTGCTCCTGTGTATGATCACACGGATACAAAGATACGAGCGGACACTCAGGATTCCTTCCTCTGCTTATCTCAGGTATTTCTTTTGTCAGTATTTCATTTATCGGAATATACAGAATCCCCTTCCCTGGAGCCTTTGTTATGTACATAGAAAGGTAAACATGCAAGTAGCAATAGACGCTCAGCGCCTTGGCTGATTGATTAGGGCGCGGTTCACACCTAGGCAGGTTGCGTTTGAGCCGTTTCTGCATTGCATTTTTTTGCCACGTTTTGCTTTTTTTTTTTTCTTGTTGCTAGGCAGATTTAAAAATGCAAAACACAAATATCCGATTGCCTCTCAGGGGATCAGGAAGGAATTTTTTTCCCCCTGCAGGAGCAAATTGGATCGTGATTTGCCTTTTTTCAGCCAAACTAACTATGTAAATAGGAAGGCAATTTCCAGATGTTGATGACCAGGATTTGGTCTTGATTTACTCAAATGCCCACTAATTTGCGTTTCTGGTTAGCGCAATCTACACTCATCCTTTTAAACACCTCGGTCACGGATTGTCACCATTGTACCACTATTGAACTTTTTCATCACTATATGCCCCTTATGACGGCGAGATTGGACGTTTTCACGCGTCATTATTTACAGCGCCATTGAGCGCTTATTTATATGTATGGTCGCTGATGCTGCTTTTATCATAATTATAACATTATCCATTTCAGCGCCACAGAGTGCAACTTATTGCCTAGATTAGATTTTATGTGTTTTTATGTTATCTTTCTATTATTAGCGCTGCATGCTTATATATTTTATGATTTTATAGAAGGTTTTACGTTTCATGCCAGCAGCTTTATCCATCTTATCCAGCACTCGTTTAGTATCATTTCTATTAGGATATGCGTGGTGTACAGGATGTGTGTGGTGTGCGGGATCTGAGGGGTGCACGGGATGTGCATGTTGTCCAGGATGTGCGGGGTGTACAAAACGTGCAGGATGTGCGTGATGTATGGGATATGCGGGTTGTACGAGATGTGAGGGGTGTGTGATGTGCAGGAAGTACGGGGTGTACTGGATGTGCAGGATCTGCATGGTGCGCGGGGTGTATGGATGTGCAGGATCTGCGGTGCGCGGGGTGTACTGGATGTGCAGGATCTGCATGGTGCGCGGGGTGTACTGGATGTGCAGGATCTGCAGGGTGCGCGGGGTGTACGGATGTGCAGGATCTGCAGGAACGTGCGGGGTGCGCGGGGGTGCGTGCGGGGTGTAACGTGGATGTGCGGGGTGCGCGGGGTGCGGGGTGCGGAACGTGCGGGGTGCGCGGAACGTGCGGGGTGCGCGGAGTGCGGGGTGCGCGGAACGTGCGGGGTGCGCGGAACGTCCGGGGTGTACGGAACGTCCAGGGGGTGCGCGGGGTGTACGGGGTGTACGGAACGTCCAGGGTGTGCGTCCAGGATGGGGATGTATGGGATGCGGGGCGCGGGATGTGTGCGGGATGCGCGGGATCTGCAGGGTGCACGGGATCGGACGGGGACGGGATGCCCGGGATCTGCAGGGTGTGCCCGGGAGGGGTGCACGGGACCGGGATCTGCAGGGTGCACGCACGGGATGCTCTGCAGGGTGCACGGGATGCCCGGGATCTGCAGGGTGCACGGGATCTGCAGGGTGCACGGGATGCGCGTTTGTTGTAAATAAAACATACAAAAGGTGAATTCATCAAATTACAGCAGATCTTCATGGCAACCAATCAGCTTCTATCTTTAAAAGCTTCAAAGAACATAATGAAGAGAGAAGCCGACTGGTTGCTGGACACAGCCGCTCCAGATTCTGTCCGCTGCATTCTTTGTAAATTCCCTTCATTATATCCCGGCTTTTCCATTTGGACAAAGTTACCGACAAAAAAAAAAAAAACATAATTTATTAAATCAATAATTTTATTTCGGCTAATTTTATTTAATAATTAAACATAAAAAAAGTTTCTCCTGCAAAGTAAACAACATGGCGAAAAATTTCCACTGTTCTTACAAGGAGAACTGAGAGGGAAGGTTTTATTTTCTCCACAACAGATTTTATTTTGAATAGAAACTCCTCAGAGATCGCAGAATACAAGTCATGGTATTGATATAACTGGGTCCCTTTAAATGTGAGATTCAGGCGTGTGCAAAAAAGCCACCCATGATGCATCTGGGAACACCTGAACCGGGGGGAGGGGGGGGGGGGGGGGGGATAAGGAAATCTCAGCGCTTCAGCCGCCATGGAACTACAAATCCGATGAGACATTGCAAGAATGACAGCCACAGGTATGACTCCCATAGGCAGAGGGATGATGGGATTTGTAGTTTTACCATGGCTGGAGTGCTGAGGTTGCCCTTTCCTGATGCAAGTTTTCTTTCACAGGCACTTTTTTTTTTTTTAAAGCATTTGCCCCCGAATGTTCCGTCCTCTCTTTAATTTTGGTCATCTGCCACCATAGGTGGTACAGCTGCCATTGTTTGAGTTGGCGAAGGTTATTGGTGGGACTGAGGCCAAGCAGTTCTCTGGTATCCTCAGAGAACCATGAATAAAGCCAACAAAATGGCTGCCGCAACGCCAACACTGGCTGCCAGACTTTGAGTGCTCTGTGGAGAAAATAGAAAATTTTGCCTCAAGTATTCTAATAGGTGAGAATTGACAGGCATCAAGGTGGCCGGTGTCACAAGTAATAACTGATTAGCTTTTAACTGCCCTGGAAGCAGAACATTCTGGAGGGGAAAAAAAAAAACTGCTTGGCGGTAAAGTTCTGTATTCCTTCACGAGGCCACATGAAGGCGCTGCAGTTCCATAGGACAGGGCAGGCGGTAATGACAAGTATGTGCAGATTGTCCTGGTGGGATTCAGAATCTCCGATAAAAAAAAATCGTCCTACGGGGTCATCGAAAGGAAGTAGAAATTGATCATCTGAGCGGTCGTCACTGCTCGTTCTGTTGTCCGTCTGTCACGGCAGACACTGCTCCTTGTCCCTTGTTAACGTCGCTGATACAAGCCCATTGGCCGTCCACGGACTCCTTCCACAGAGTCACCTAAAAACAAAGGAGGATAACGCTTTCAATAAAGAGAATCCAGGATGGAAAGCTGGAACTATATGCCCCCCCCCCCCATGTGATCACAAGATCTCCAGAAAAGGAAGAGTAGTTATTCTGGACTTGAATCCCTTCCCTTCGGAGATCACATGACTAAATGCCAAAAGGTTTTAGTCACATGACCAGAGCTGGAGAAACCTGAAACGGCTGCCTCAAACTGCCAGTTTCACCAGATTTTGGTGACGTCATTATTGTGCTGCTCACTGTTCCCTTTGCTGGAGAGGAAGCTGTACCTGAAGACCTGCAGTGCAAGGATCTCCCTGCTTCTGCTGTATCCATTCTGCGGATCTGTGCTTCCTCCACATCTCCTGCTGCATCACCATTACCCCCCCCCCCCCCCAGTTCCCCAATCATCAGGGGGCCAGCTCTGACATGAGGAAACAAAGTCCTGCCTCTACTGAGAGCACACAGGTGACCAGGTTTTTTATCTTCTTTTCTTGGGCATAGCTAGAACAGTACAGGTCCTCTTTAAAGTGGTTATGCGGTTGTAAAGGCAGGTTTTTTTACTTTCATGCATTCTATGCATATAAAGAAAAAACCTTCTGTATGCAGCTCTCCCCTCCCCTATACTTACCCGAATCTGATCTGGATCCAGAGCTGTACACAAGAGCAGAGGATCTCTCTGCGCTCCCACTTCTCACTGGCTGAAACACAACAGCGGAAGCCATTGGATCCCACTGCTGTCAATCAGAGCCAGTGAAGAAGAAGGGAGCGAAGCTGAGCCGGGCTGTGTGTGTCTTATAGACACACAGAGCCGGCTTGGCAGTAAGCACACGCATGCGCAGTGGGGCACCTGGCTGTGAAGCCTCAAGCTGTCACAGCCGGGTGCCCGCACTAAAGATGACGGCGCCAGGGAAAGAAGACGGCCGGTGAAACCAGCGGTGGTGAGGACACCTCTGGACCGAGGGACAGGTAAGTGGCTGTATTTTAAAAGTCTGCTGCACTGCTGACTCGGACTCCTCCTCTCTTCTGCAACAGAAGAGCCAAGCGGCCGGCGCGGTATTCTAACATGGCGGCGGCGACAGGGGGGAAAACCGGGCCGGCCGCTCCATAAGACACACAGACATTTCCCCCCATTTTTTTGGGGAAAAAAAGTGCATCTTATGGAGCGAAAAATACAGTAGCTTCTGCATGTTCCCTGGCTATAAAAATATACTTTGTGAGACTATTGAATGGTTTCCACCATGAATCCTCCATAATGTATCCACTTTGTACATCCATTTACATACTTGATCAGCTTTGAGTGTTTTGGGCACTCTGTGTGCCAGGGACCTGGGTACCCACCTTGTTATCTCCCCCAGACACAGCCAGGATATTGGCGGTGATGGACCAGCTCACGTGCCAGACCACATCACTGAATTTGTGCAACAACTTGGGGTTCCAGCTGCTGGTGGCGGGTTCGTCACAAGTCCAGATGTAAACTCTGCCATCCTGGAAGGAAGATACAGCGACACTTGTTAGGGGAGTCAGTTAATATGTACTCGGGTCGTTGGTTCGAATCCCAACCACCTGCCTGGAGTTTGCATGTTCTCCCTGTGCCTGCGTGGGTTTACTCCGATTTCCTCCAAACACTTCAAAGACATGCTGGCAGGTTAATTGTCTCCTGTCTAGATTGTCCCTAGTATGTGTATGTATGAATGTGAGTTAGGGACCTTAGATTGTACGCCCCTTGAGGGTTAGGGACCTTAGATTGTACACCCCTTGAGGGTTAGGGGACCTTAGATTGTACGCCCCTTGAGGGTTAGGGACCTTAGATTGTACACCCTTGAGGGTTAGGGACCTTAGATTGTACGCCCCTTGAGGGTTAGGGACTGATGTGAATGTACAATATATATTATTATTATTATACAGGATTTATGGCGCCCCTTGACAGTTTGCTCAGCGCTTTACAATATAACGGAGACAATACAGCAACAATACAGTTCAATACAAGAGGGATAGGAGGCCCTGATCCTGGGAGCTTACAATCTAGGAGGGAGGGGCTAGTGGTACAAAAAGGTAATAACTGTGGGGGATGGAGTGGTAGGAGGAATAGAAGATTCCATTATTAGCTGAGGGCGGGATAGGCTTCCCTGAAGAGAGGTTTTTAGAGATCGCCTAAAATTAGGCAGAGTAGGCGATAGGCTGATTAGATTGGGGTAGAGAGTTCCAGAGGATGGGGGAGGCGCTGGAGAAGTCCTGGAGACGAGCATGGAAGGAGGAGACAAGGGATCTAGAGAGCAGAAGGTCGTGGGAGGAGCGGAGAGGGACAGTTTGGGTCATGTTTGGAGACAAGATTGGTGATGTAATTGGGGGGCAGAGTTATAAATGGCTTTATATGTGGAGAGATTGGCAGAGAGGGGTGAAGGACACCGAGTGGGCGGGATTGGCAGAGAGGGGTAGAGGAGTGGAGGACACTGAGTGGAGGGATTGGCATAGAGGAATGGAGGACACAGTGGAGGCCAGTGGAGGGATTGGTAGAGAGGGGGTGGAGGACACAGTGGAGGCCAGTGGAGGGATTGGCAGAGAGAGGGGTGGAGGACACTGAGTGGAGGGATTGGAGAGGGGTGGAGGACACCGAGTGGAGGGATTGGCAGAGAGGGGTGGAGGAGTGGAGGACACTGAGTGGAGGGATTGGCATAGAGGAATGGAGGACACAGTGGAGGCCAGTGGAGGGATTGGTAGAGAGGGGTGGAGGACACTGAGTGGAGGCCAGTGGAGGGATTGGTAGAGAGGGGGGGAGGACACAGTGGAGGCCAGTGGAGGGATTGGTAGAGAGGGGTGGAGGACACAGTGGAGGCCAGTGGAGGGATTGGCAGAGAGGGATGGCAGATACAGAACGGTTAGTAAGATGATGAGTCTGGCAGCAGCATTCATGATGGACTGAAGAGGGGATAACCACCGATTAGGTAGGCCAAATCCTCCTTTTCTTCTACTGTCTCCAATATTTTTCTAATAGCACAGAGCTTGGGGGAAAAGCTGCACATGCTCAGTTTAGTGTGTATTGCTGCTAGAGTTTTTCTTGTTTTTTTCTTGGGAGAGTTCATGTGATCAGCACATATATGTAAATTGATGGCGCTATACAAGTACCTGAAATAAATATGTAAAAATGGCTGACCTATGACTACACCTATGGGTTGAGACACTTCAGTGGGGATGGAGTCACATCTTACAAGGGAGAGAGTGTCTGTCTCACCTATCTGGAGCCAATAAAGCTTGTTGCAGCCCGGCAAAAAAAAACCAAAAAAAATTAAAAAACCCACATCAGAGTGTGGCTTATGCATTTGTCTGTCTGCAGGTGGAGAAGGCGGGCCCCGGAGAGTCTGTGCACCTGATTGGAGCGGGGGACATTTACACACAGATATAGATTGGTTGGTGGTTTTACCTGCGAGCAGCTGGCGATTGTGCTTGTGGGAAGACCAATGGAGGGAGCCCAGGCCACATCCCGTACCCAATCACTGTGTGCCTCCAGTTTCTGATCCTCCTTCCACTGACCATCCTCCTCCCTAGAGAAAGAAGGATGTTATATAAAATGTACAGTCCAAGCAGCAGAGGGTACATTCAGCCATCCCTACAAAAGCCGGCTATGATCCGTCACTCCGTGTTGAGCAATGGAATCCCGGAATTTAAACAGCAGCGCGTGGCCTTACAGTAATAAATGCTTCTGTAGCTCTATAGGCCCCAAGCTTGCTGTTGGCAGGCTGCGCCAATGCAGGAAAAGAAGGTCTCAAAGCAGGCTCTGAATCGTTTTCCTGCATTCATCTGCAGTGAGATTTTAGTTTTAAAAAAAACAAAATAAACTTTAAAAAACAAAACAAAAAAAAAAAAGTTAAAAAACTAAAAATTCTTCCTGCGCCAAGTGAAAAAAACACTACTACAGGATCTATCCTGCTGCTGTGCAATGTGATGAACACAAAATGTGATAAATATAAATAAACAGCGCAAACATAGACCTCTATATCAAATCAATATATAAAGTGCAAACATATATAGAAAATTATATTAGTAGTGAAAGTCCATCATGATAATAGACAACAAAAGTTCATAAATCTCAAAAAATTTGTGCAAAAAGATCAAAAATTCTTCTAATGCAAAGAAAACTTCCCCCTTCCACCCGTACAAACCAACATCAAATGCACTCACCAGATTTAGGTGAATGAAACGCCTTTTAGGAATTTTTATGGGATCCTAAACCCTCTTTCGTATCCACTCTATAGGAATCCTCACCTTCAGTATAGGCTCCACCATACAACCGGGGAGAGAAAAAATCTCAGATAGTGTGATATTGCAAAATACCGTTTTTAAATAAAATCAAGGATTAAGGCCACTCACATTTAAATCACTTTAAAAAGGCATATTTATTAGGACAGCTTCTTCCAGATGGACAATGAATGTCAGACAACCTCCTCAGGAATCTCACATCACAGCTCCAGGATACAGCAGAAGCTCCACAGAGACCAAACATGCACAGATCCCAAAAGATGGCCGCTGGAACGCACCGCTCAGCGTGCGCTCCACTCACCGGAAGTGACGTCAGACGTACGGGGTAAAGACCGGAAATGCGTCGACGCGTTTCGCCCCTCCCATCGGGCGTTCTCAAGACGTCCATTTCCTGTCTGAAGCTCCCTTAACCATTAGCCGCCCGGCCAATGGCCGTTTGGCGGCTTCAAATGCGCTCCTGTATTCCGGGTGCATGCCATGTTGGCGTGCTCCCGCACATGCGCAATTTGCGCTAATGCAGAGCGGCGCAGCAGCGCGATCTGTCACCGGCCGTGCACCTCGGACACGGCCGATGACAGATCCGAGTACCGGCTCCCGTAGCTGGTACCATGTGACCTGCTGTGACCAATCACAGCAGGTCACATGATAGTTGTATACAATGGATGGCTTCATTCATGATGCCATCCATTGTATACTAGTACCTAGCTGTGAATGGTCACAGCTAATCACATGCACATGTCATGTGATTAGCTGTCACCAAATCACAGCTAAGCACAAAAAAAAAAAAAAAAAAAAAAGCTGAATGAATCGATTTCATTCAGCTAAATGCTTGCTTATAGCAAAGTAATTCTTTGCTATAAGCAGACTGTGTAAAAAAAAAAAAAAAATACTGATCACTTCCCCAAAGTAGTACAATGTTACTATGGTAACATTGTACTACTTTGGTCATAGTAAAATATGAAAAAAAATCTTTAAAAAAATGTAATAAAAAATTTAATATAATAAAAAAAAAAAATATATATATATATATATATATATATATATATATATATATTTTTTTTTATTTTTTTTTTTTTTTTTATTATATTAAATTTTTTATTACATTTTTTTAAAGATTTTTTTTCATATTTTACTATGACCAAAAAAAAAAAAAAAATTATATATATATATATATATATATATATATATATATATATATATATATATATATATATATATATATATATATATATATTTTTTATATTTTTTTTTTTATTTTTTTTTTTTTTCCCATACTGTCACCAGTCAGTGTCCCTGTTCACCGCCATGCCAGTTATATGATGATGCTGTACTGCACTGGTGACAGTATGTAAAAGTAAAAAAAAAAGGGAAAATAATTTTTTTAATTTTTTCATTTTCCAAAAAATTATGACAAAAAAATACAACTTCAAAAAACTTGCCATGCCTCTTATGAAGTACGTCGGACTGTCTACTCTGTAAAAAGGGGTCATTTGGGGATATCTGTACTGTTCTGACATTCTTGGACCTCAAGAAATTAGATTGGCCGTCAGAACTTCAGGATTGATCAATATTCAGATCTATCCCATAGTTTGTGAACTCTATAACTTTCCTACAAACTAAATAATACATCCTAATTTGGGTTATTTTCACCAAAGACATGTAGCAGAATACATCTCGGCCTAAATTTATGAAGAACAATTATTTATTTGTAAACTTTTATAACAGAAACAAAGAAAAATGTGTTTTGTTTTCAAAATTTTTGGTCTTTTTTTGTTAATTTAGCAAAAAATAAAAAAACCCCAGCGGTGATTAAATACCACCAAAAGAAAGCTCTAGTTGTGTGAAGAAAATGATAAAATTTTAGTTTGGGTACAGTGTTGTATGACCGCGCAATTGTCATTCAAAGTGTGAGAGCGCTGAAACCTGAAAAATGGCCTGGGCAGGAAGGTGTAAAATCACACGGTATTGAAACGGTTAAATATCCAACAGGGACCCACCCCTCTGTTACAATTGGTCAAGACACATCCCCAGGATTATCAAAAACCACTCCTCCTGTTGTGTGACGTGAGAGTCCTTTACAAACGAGGCATATACCTACACAACTTAAAAACCTTTTTAAAATATTCCCATCACTACTTGATTTACTCCCAGCAACAAAATATATATTAATACATATCCTTAGTGGGACAAAAAATATAAATTAAAAATTGCCTACATATTACGAAAAAACGTTCTTTATTAAATGAGTTTTTCTTTGCATTAGAAGAATTTTTGATCTTTTTGCACGAATTTTTTGAGATTTATGAACTTTTGTTGTCTATTATCATGATGGACTTTCACTATTACCGTATTTGCCGGCGTATAAGACGACTTTTTGACCCTTGAAAATCTTCTCAAAAGTCGGGGGTCGTCTTATACGCCGGTACACATGTTAGGGGGGCTGCGGCATTAAGTACAGGGGTTTGCAGGGGCTGATGTCTCTTACCTGGATCCAGTCCCACGACGATCCGGTCCAGGAAGCGCGGCGTCTCCTTCAGTTCGGCCACTGGATGTTCGTGCGGCTGCTCGGCTCCGCCTCCTCACCGGTGATTGGCCGCCAGAACTGTAGCTCAGGAAAGGCACACAGGCGGCCAATCACCGGCGAGGGGGCGGAGCCGAGCGGCCCCGCGAAAATTGAGTGCCGGAGCAGCAGGTAAGTGTTCTGTGTAGAGGTGCTGCTGCAACCACATATGCTGGCTGCAGCAGCACCATACGAGAAACAGGGTCAGCAAGTCTCAGTGGGAGGAATAGTGCCCCATCATTGGTGTCACTGATACCAATGATGGGGCACTATTCCTCCCACTGATACCAACGATGGGGCACTATTCCTCCCACTGACACCAATGATGGGGCACTATTCCTCCCCCCCACTGACACCAACGATGGGGCACTATTCCCCCCCCCACTGACACCAACGATGGGGCACTATTTCCCCCCCCACTGACACCAACGATGGGGCACTATTCCACCCCCCACTGACACCAATGATGGGGCACTATTCCCCCCCCCACTGACACCAACGATGGGGCACTATTCCACCCCCCACTGACACCAATGATGGGGCACTATTCCACCCCCACTGACACCAACGATGGGGCACTATTCCACCCCTCACTGACACCAACGATGGGACACCATTCCTCCCACTGACATCAATGATGGGGCACTATTCCTCCCCCCAATGATGGGACACCTCCCACTGATGATGGGCACTATTCCTCCCCCCACTGACACCAATGATGGGGCACTATTCCTGCCACTGATACCAATGATGGGGCACTATTCCTCCCCACTGACACCAATGATGGGGCACTATTTCTCTCACTGATACCAATGATGGGGCACTATTCCTCCCACTGATACCAATGATGGGGCACTATTCCTCCCAACTGATACCAATGATGGGGCACTATTCCTCCCACTGAAACCAATGATGGGGCACTATTCCTCCCACTGACACAATGATGGGGCACTATTCCTCCCACTGACATCAATGATGGGGCACTATTCCTCCCACTGATACCAATGATGGGGCACTATTCCTCCCACTGATACCAATGATGGGACACTATCCTCCCACTGAAACCAATGATGGGGCACTATTCCTCCCACTGACACCAATGATGGGGCACTATTCCCCACTGACATCAATGATGGGGCACTATTCCTCCCACTGATACCAATGATGGGGCACTATTCCTCCCACTGATACCAATGATGGGACACTATTCCTCCCACTGACACCAATGATGGGGCACTATTCCTCCCACTGACACCAATGATGGGGCACTATTCCTCCCACTGACACCAATGATGGGGCACTATTCCTCCCACTGACACCAATGATGGGGCACTATTCCTCCCACTGAAACCAATGATGGGGCACTATTCCCCCACTGACACCAATGATGAGGCACTATTCCTCCCACTGACATCAATGATGGGGCACTATTCCTCCCACTGACACCAATGATGGGGCACTATTCCCTCCCACTGATACCAATGATGGGGCACTATTCCTCCCACTGACACCAATGATGGGGCACTATTCCTCCCACTGATACCAATGATGGGGCACTATTCCTCCCACTGACATCAATGATGGGGCACTATTCCTCCCACTGATACCAATGATGGGGCACTATTCCTCCCACTGAAACCAATGATGGGGCACTATTCCCCCCACTGACACCAATGATGAGGCACTATTCCTCCCACTGACATCAATGATGGGGCACTATTCCTCCCACTGATACCAATGATGGGGCACTATTCCCCCACTGACACCAATGATGAGGCACTATTCCTCCCACTGACATCAATGATGGGGCACTATTCCTCCCCACTGATACCAATGATGGGGCACTATTCCTCCCACTGATACACCAATGATGGGGCACTATTCCTCCCACTGACATCAATGATGGGGCACTATTCCTCCCACTGATACCAATGATGGGCACTATTCCTCCCACTGACACCAATGATGGGGCACTATTCCTCCCACTGACACCAATGATGGGGCACTATTCCTCCCACTGGTGTGCATTGGAAGAGGGGTAGTCTTATACGGCGAGTATAGCCCAAACACTACATTTTTAGCAGGAAAAGTAGGGGGGTCGTCTTATACGCCGGCAAATACGGTAATATAATTTTCTATATATGTTTGCACTTTATATATTGATTTGATATAGAGGTCTATGTTTGCGCTGTTTATTTATATTTAAAAAAAAAAAGTTAAGGTGGCCAAGACCTACCTCCAGATCTTTACCAGGTTGTCGCAGCCCCCGGAGACAAATCTCTTGACGTAATTGGGCCTCGGTCCAGATGGCTGATCCACCAGACTGCCGGGGACCACAGAGGGAGCCCAGCTCACGGCATTACACCCGATCTATGGAGGATCACAAACCAAGAGAACCTGCATGAAGTACAATGTATCTCCAGAAGAGATTATTTCTTATTGACCAATGCAGCCCAAAATAATGAATACCCATCTTTGCCACACAGGATTTCAGTTACAGAGAAACAGAATGAAAAAAGTGAAGATTTTTTTTTTTAAAGAACAAACATCTCATACTCTCCTGCTCTGTGCAATGGCTTTGCACAGAGCAGTCTCCATCCTCTTTCTCGGGTCCTCCGCCAGCGCTCCTGGCTCCTCACCCATGCTGAGTGTTCCCACAGCAAGCCACTTGCACTCGCGCATGCTCGTTCCTGAGCCGCTCTGTGTATCCATTGACACAAAGAGCGAGACTCAGCCCTGCCCCCCCCCAACTGGTTGTGATTGACAGCAGCAGGAGCCAATAGCTCCTGCTGCTGTCTCTGAGCCAATGAGGAGGGAGAGAGCAGAGAGCGCCGCTGCTCTTGTGCACAGAGCTGGATCAAGATCAGGCAAGTATTAAAGGGGCTGGAGGTGGGAGCAGAACACAGAAGGTTTTTCAGCTTTATGGGTAGAATAGCTTTACAACCTCTTGGTGTCGGCGCCTCCCAGCCCTTTAAGAGCTTCAGAAGCCAGGAGGCGGGGGGGTTTTAGGATCATGTGACCGTAGTGATTCGCCGTCACATGATCGGAAAAGGTTCCGATCGCAAGGGGAGATCGGGATCTTTCCGTGAGTCACGGACATATGTGCGGTGAGCGTGCAGGGTGCGCGCTCTTAGCACATATGTATTTTCTAACGGCACGCAATATGCGGCTGCTCGGCATCAAGCCCCAGACGCTGAGAAGCCGCATATTTGCATGCGCTCGGCGTCAAGGGGTTAATTATGCCTAAACGTTACTAAGAAAAATGCACCTTTTAGCTTCGAATTCTTCCTTGTTTTGCACTTCGTGGTATGTGAGGGTGCCTAGGCACTTCTGTTCTGTATCTCTGGACTGTGAGAAATAATGAACTGCTGCTGATCATTTCAGGAATGAGATTTGGTGATGTCACTACTGTGCTGCGCACTATTCTCCTTGCTGGAAGCTCTGACATGAGGAAGAAAAGCCCTGCCTTTACCAAGATGGCCACCTTCACAAGGAGGCATACTTCAGAAAAAGGCATGGCAATGGGGAAAGATCAGCTGCAGGCAGATCACAGGCAATACTGGCTTCCAGTCATTTGCACTCTGTCTGCCTTTCTTTGGGCAGAGCTTGGACAGTTCAGTTCATTTTCAATATTCAGGGCTGACTGGAAACCCATCATTTAACCCTTTTTTAGCAGCTGCTCTTCGAAGTGTGCAAAGCTCTCACCGACATACGACCATACAGACCGTTCCATGAGAAACCAGATACTTCTGGCCCTTACCGTGTGCGCATTGCTGATCTTTTTGACATCCCAAGGGCCGTCCCCTGTATAGGTGAGGAGGGATATGGCGCCATCTGAACTGCCGCAAGCCAACAACAGTCCAAAGTCATGGGGGGCCCAACACACAGAGTTCACTGGACGGGGAGAAAAGGGAACATTACAAGCCGTGATCCATTCACCAGCAAACTATTTTATCACAAACGACTCGCGAAGATAAAAAGAAGACCCCTTACTTGACTCAGATGGAATACATTTATCATTTTTAAGTGTATCTAAAAAAGGTAAAACTTTTTTATTTTTTCAGTCTTCGATAGGGTAGGTGTAACGGGACCGACCCCAGACTGCACTTGGGTACTTCCGTTAGAATACCGCTTCCCCGTCCGAACACCGACCACAGACACCACCGCTGACCATACAAGACTAGACGGCACCAGACTTGAAGTAAACCAGGAAGTAGACTACTTTATCTGAACACAGATACAAGATATATACACTCAAGGGAACAATCCCCCCTCCCTGCATAATGACACAGGGTGGGGAAATCTACCTTTAGTAACAAGAAAACACACCAACAGACAGTCCCATCAGGAGGGAGGGCTGCTGGAGACACCCCCCCACCAAGCCAATACACATGCATCCCATAATAGTTTGCTCCCAAGCCAGACAAACAATAGAACAATGGGATGGAGCCATATAACACCAAACAATCAACAACCCCCACCTATCTCCTATACATGTCTACACAATAGTAGGACAGATCACCCTGTACCCCTAACAGGCACAGGGTGACTTACACATAATAGGGATATGGGGAGCTGAGACAGGGGTCTCCCCACCTCTCCAAAGTGAGTTGGATTCCATGGGCCCCCCCCACCCAAGGTCACTCCAGTCACAGTAGGGAAGGGATATAGATTGGACCTGGTTTTGACCGGACCTTGTTTTGCTGGGTCTTCGCTCTCTAGGACTGAAAGTGAAACAGCGTTTTCATTGTGTGGGAAGGAAATACCTGACGAATCGTGGCCGGTGTACTCGTACGTCTTCTCCCAGGTGCCGTTTTCCTCTTTCCATATGATGACTTTTCTGTCGTAGGAGCAGGACGCCAGGATGTTCCCGTACATTGGGTGAGCCCAGGCCACCTGCCAAACTGGCCCTTCATGCCTGAAATACATAATCACACTTCTGAGATCTGCATCAGTGAAATATGGGATGTAGGTTACCTATGAGGGCACCTTATATTAAAGTGGTTCTAAAGGCTGAAGTTTTTTTACCTTCATACATTCTATGCATGAAGGTAAAAAAAAAAAAAAAAAAAAAAAAAAAAAAAAAAAAAAATCTTCAGTGTGCAGCTCCCCCCTCCCCTTATAATCACCTGAGCCTGATCCAGCAATGTGCACAAGAGCAACAGCTCTCCCGGGTCTCTGCCTCCTTGGGACTCAGAGAGGGAGCATGGAGCGCTGGCAGGGGGGGACCCGAATAAAGAAGGATTGGGGCTGCTCTGTGCAAAACCATTACACAGAGCATGGAAGCATTACATGTTTGTTATTTTTTTGTTTTAATTTGAACCTTTACAGCCACTTTAAAGGGTCAGCCCGGTAGATATTTCAGTTAATGACGGAGTTTGAATGAACAGTTGGAATCTGATTTCTAGGAGACTCCAGTAGTGAGATCATCTTGTCATAGTTCCAGATTCCGTTCCTGACCAAACTGTGCATGATCTCACCCTCCTGTTACATTCCACAGAATATAATATAGAATCAAGCAGAGATGGTGGGAATCCCTCATAATGGCCACAGCGGGTGTATAAAACACGGGAACTCAGCACAGGGATGGTGGGAACCCTCATAATGGGCACAGCGGGTGTATAAACACGGGAACTCAGCACACAGGGAATGGTGGGTGGGAACCCCTCATGGGAAATCAATGGGCACAGGGGCGGGTGTGCAGACCTGGGAACTCAGCACAGGGATGGTGTGAACCCCTCATAATGGGCACAGTGGGTGTACAGACCCTGGAGCTCAGCACAGGGATGGTGGGAACCCCTCATAATGGGCACAGCGGGTGTATAAACACGGGAACTCAGCACAGGGATGGTGGGAACCCCTCATAATGGCCACAGCGGGTGTATAAACACGGGAACTCAGCACAGGGATGGTGGGAACCGCTCATAATGGGCACAGGCGGGGTGTACAGACCAGGGATGGTGGAACCCCAGCGCAGAGATGGTGGGAACCCCTTATAATGGGCACAGCGGGTGTGCAGACCCTGGAGCTCAGCACAGGGATGGTGGGAACCCCTCATAATGGGCACAGCGGGGTGTACAGACCAGGGAACCCAGCGCAGAGATGGTGGGGGTAACCCCTTATAATGGGCACAGCGGGGTGTGCAGACCTGGGAACTCAGCACAGGGATGGTGGGAATAATGGGCCACCGGCGTGTGCAGACCCGGGAACTTATAATGGGCACAGCGGGTGTGCAGACCCGGGGAACTCAGTACAGGGATGGTGGGGAACCCCTCATAATAGGCACAGCGGGTGTGCAGACCCGGGGAAACTCAGTACAGGGATGGGGAAACTCCAGGTGGGGGAACCCCTCATAATGGGCACAGTGGGTGTGCAGACCCGGGAACTCAGCACAGAGATGGTGGGAACCCCTCATAATGGGCACAGTGGGTGTGCAGACCCGGGAACTCAGCAAAGGGGTGGTGGGAACCCCTCATAATGGGCACGGCAGGCAGGTGTGCAGACCCGGGAACTCAGCACAGAGATGGTGGGAACCCCTCATAATTGAAATGCGCATTGCTTACATACGTAAAGGATTCATACACATTTGTTGAATCATTTGGGGGTTTGGCTGAAATCGCTCTTTAATATCCTCATAACCGAAATGCCCTTCATTGTCTCTTTCTCACCCCCTGAGATCAGCGATTAGGATCTGTCCTCCATTCTTCACACGTCAAAGATCTTCACCGATCTGTCAGAGGAGCATGTGGCCAGGCGCGTCCCATAGTAATCCATCTGCGCATCGTGCTGAATAACGAGATAAAAGGAACACAGATTCTGAAAGATCTTCTTCATCTTTATAGAATAATATCAAATATACTGCCATTAGGTCGAATGAGGGGATTTGCTGCGTTACCGACATTTGTGAAACATTCACGGCGATTCTGATTGGTCAAAGTGGTGACAAAGCGATTGGAATCGCTCTGAACTGTCTTTGAAGCTCCAACGAAAAGAAGGGGAAGAAGAGCTTTCAATCCCCGGAGCTCTGCATCGGCTGCAATGGGATCCGACAGATTTAAAAATAACAAACATGTTATACTTACCTGCTCTGTGTGACTCTTCTTGAGTGCCTCGCAGGCGCTCCTGGCCCTCCCCCCTGCCCCCATGGCAAACCGCTTGCTATGGGGGCACTTGTGCGTGCAAACTCCTAAGCTGGCTCTGTGCAGCCACAGACAGTGGTTTGCCCCCCCCCTCCCTCCCCTGGCTGTGATTGACAGCAGCAGGAGGAGCCAATGGGTTTTGTTTTTCTGCCTCTAAACGCCTATGTGTGCATGAACACATAGGCCAAGGTTCAACAAATCCCAGGTGCCAGGTCACCTTGGCAACTAGAAATTGCATCCTGGGTTCACACACGGCTTCCCATTGACGGTCAACGCACTTTTCATCCCACTGACGTCAACGGGCGCTTTTCATCCCACAGACGTCAACGGGCACCTTTTCATCCCACAGACGTCAACGGGCGCTCCCCATCCCACAGACGTCAACGGGCGCTCCCACAGACGTCAACGGGCGCCCCTCCCACAGACGTCAACGGGCGCTCCCCTCCCACAGACGTCAACGGGCGCTCCCCTCCCACAGACGTCAACGGGCGCTCCCCTCCCACAGACGTCAACGGGCGCTCCCCTCCCACAGACGTCAACGGGCGCTCCCCTCCCACAGACGTCAACGGGCGCTCCCCTCCCACAGACGTCAACGGGCGCGCCTCCCCTCACGGGCGCCACAGACGTCAACGGCGCGCTCCCCTCCCACTGACGTCAACGCGCGCTCCCCTCCCACTGACGTCAACGCGCGCTCCCCTCCCACTGACGTCAACGCGCGCTCCCCTCCCACTGACGTCAACGCGCGCTCCCCTCCCACTGACGTCAACGCGCGCTCCCCTCCCACTGACGTCAACGCGCGCTCCCCTCCCACTGACGTCAACGCGCGCTCCCCTCCCACTGACGTCAACGCGCGCTCCCCTCCCACTGACGTCAACGCGCGCTCCCCTCCCACTGACTCAACGCGCGCTCCCCCTCCCACTGACGTCAACGCGCGCTCCCCTCCCACTGACGCCAACGCGCGCGCCCCGGCCCACTGACGCCAACGCGCGCCCGGCCCCCACTGACGCCAACGCGCGCCCGGCCCACTGACGCCAACGCGCGCCACGGCCCACTGACGTCAACGCGCGCCACGGCCACTGACGTCAACGCGCGCCACGGCCCACTGACGTCAACGCGCGCCACGGCCCACTGACGTCAACGCGCGCCACGGCCCACGGACGTCAACGCGCGCCACGGCCCCTGACGTCACCGCGTGCGCCCGCCCATGGATGCAGTTGCTATGGGGGTAATTGTGCATGGACACATAGGCCAAGCTTCAACAAATTCCAGGTGCCAGGTTCGCCTTGGGGACTAGAAATTGCATCCTGGGTTCACACGCAGCTTCCTACTAACTTCACAACCGCGTCCCACTGACGTCAATGCACGTTCTTGTCAACCCCAAAAGCTGCTTTGCCCCGGGCCTGACAACCCACTCCCAGCTTTAAAAAAAAAAAAAAAAAAAAAAAAAAAAAAAAAAAAAAAAAAAAAAAAAAAAAAAAAAAAAAAAAAAAAAAAAAAAACCTGGCTCCTTACTTTTTTTTCTGGCTCTTAGGCCAGCCATACATAGGTCTGATTTTTGGAAGAATATATCAGTCGAATTTCAACTTAACAATAAAACCGGCCAATTTTCGCTCTGTTGGTGGGGTCAATGGCACCGGCTGATTTTCGTGGTCCCTCCCCTTTTTCCGGTGATCGGGCATGTTGGAAAATTCATGAAAAACGACCGATTTTTGACTCGATGGTCAAATCGTACGATCGTTTCTCCTAAAAGAATATGCGCCATGAGCCGTGACCCGGAAGGAAACAGAAGTTTTGCCTGTTATATGGGGTGAACTTTATGACTCGGTCGGCCAATTTTCGAAATCATTGATGGACCATCGGATTACGAGCGAACGTTTTTTCGATTTTCGGACGGAAAATCATTCGGGATTCGAACCATGTATGGCCTGCATTAGAATCAAAGTACATTTGTCAAGCCTTGACACATGAGTTGGTTGTGGCCAGCTCAGTGGATTGCTGTAGGAAAGTCTGGATTCTTTCTTGGATACACAGAATATAACATTTATAGGGAAAGTTGATCCAGGGGAATATCCGATTGCCTCTCGGGGGATCAGGAAGGAATTTTTTTTCCCTGCAGGAGCAAATTGGATCGTGATTTGCTGGGATTTTTTGCTGTGGGTGGAGGATTATAACTTTTTTTTCTTTAATGGTTGAACTGGATGGACTTTTGTCTTTTTTCAGCCAGACTAACTATGTAACTGACATAGAGGGAGGAAGAAAAGAAAAACACAAAAACAGGTGCCCCCTAAAAGCAGCTTTTAAATTGCTGTGTGTGGGCAGCACAGTGGCTAAGTGGTTAGCAGTTCCGCCTGGCAGTAGACGGGTCGTTGGTTCGAATCCAACCACGGCATCACCTGCCTGGAGTTTGCATGTTCTCCCTGTGCCTGCATGGGTTTTCTCGGGTACTCCGGTTTCCTCCCACACTCCAAAGACATGCTGGTAGGTGAATTGGATCCTGTCTAAATTGTTCCTAGTATGTGTATGTATGAATGTGAGTTAGGGACCTTAGATTGTACGCCCCTCGAGGGTTGGGGACCTTAGATTGTTACGCCCCTCGAGGGTTGGGGACCTTAGATTGTACGCCCCTCGAGGGTTGGGGACCTTTAGATTGTACGCCCCTCGAGGGTTAGGGACCTTAGATTGTACGCCCTCGAGGGTTAGGGACCTTAGATTGTACGCCCCTCGAGGGTTAGGGACCTTAGATTGTACGCCCCTCGAGGGTTAGGGACCTTAGATTGTACGCCCCCTCGAGGGTTAGGGACCTTAGATTGTACGCCCTCGAGGGTTAGGGACCTTAGATTGTACGCCCCTCGAGGGTTAGGGGACCTTAGGACTGTACGCCACTCGAGGGTTAGGGACCTTAGACTGTACGCCCCTCGAGGGTTGGGGACCTTAGATTGTACGCCCCTCGAGGGTTGGGGACCTTAGATTGTACGCCCCTCGAGGGTTGGGGACCTTAGATTGTACGCCCTCGAGGGTTGGGGACCTTAGATTGTACGCCCCTCGAGGGTTGGGGACCTTAGATTGTACGCCCCTCGAGGGTTTGGGGACCTTAGATTGTACGCCCCTCGAGGGTTGGGGGGGACCTTAGATTGTACAACCCCCTCGAGGGTTGGGGACCTTAGATTGTACGCCCCTCGAGGGTTGGGGGACTTAGGGACCCTTAGATTGTACGCCCCTCGAGGGTTTAGGGACCTTAGATTGTACGCCCCCTCGAGGGTTAGGGACCTTAGATTGTACGCCCCTTGAGGGTTAGGGACCTTAGATTGTACGCCCCACTGAGGGTTAGGGGACTTAGATTGTACACCCCTTGGGGGTTAGGGACCTTAGATTGTACACCCTTGGGGGTTAGGGACCTTAGATTGTACGCCCCTTGAGGGTTAGGACTGATGTGAATGTACAATATATATGTAAAGTGCTGCGTACATTGACGGCGATATATAAGTACCTGAAATAAATAATAAACGCATTAGCTGTGTTGATGAACCCAACCAAGCCTTGCCTCCCTGCACTCATTTGTCTTGTTCCTCCTCATACCTGGAGTGCCCAAAGGAACCAGAATAAAAGGCACAACAAGCCCATGCGATGATCGCTGAAAGCGACGGCCACAATCCATTAGAAGCAATCTGCTCTGTAAGAGATAAGGCGGCAATTGTGCTGATACGTCATTACACGTGTACACACGCCACGGGTGAAGGTGTTTTATTCCGGTCAGCTGCCCACCGCACTGCAGGACTGTCACATGAACCGGGATCCTTCGCAATCTTCACCTAACACCACAACTCAGCGAAAGACAAATATTAGAGATCAAATGTCGGATTTACTACTTTACAATCATATCACTCGTGTGAGGTGTCCACGGTGTTTATTTACAGAGCCTGCGAAGAAAGAAAAGCCACGGTCAGCCTTCCATGAACATGGAGAGATTGCATCCACGGCACTGAGTAATAGGTCAGCTTTGATTCCATTCATTACACCGCTTCCAGATTTAAGGGATCCTGTGTACACCACACACACCATACTCACCTGATCAATGAACTCTAAGGCCCAATGTACACGGGACACCTTCAACAATGGAAACTGACTGCTGGAAAACTGTTAGGTTAAAAAACGTCTGTTTAGCCGCGTTTGTCGTTTAGAAAGCGTTTTTTTTTTTTAGGAAAGGTCATTGAGCACGGGGAGAGACATTTGAAAAACCCCCCAAATGCCACAGAATGACTGAAAAGTGGTAAAAATTATGAAACTATTTTCAGACTTTTTCAGGTGAAATACAGAGGTCTAGAAGCAGAGGACATGCAGTATGTGTGGAGATTTGCTTAGGTGTGAGTTGGCTCATTAACATTTCTTTTGTTTCCAAGGGTGGGAAAGGTGTTGGTGGAAAAGGAGTCATTAAGGCCACTGGCAGGGGGGGTCCCTCATGAGGAATTTGAGGTGTGAATGGTCAGTAACATATCTTTTGTTTCCAAGGGTGGGAGAGGTCTGAGGTGTGAATGGTTATTAATATATCTTTCGTTTCCAAGGGTGGGGAGAGGTACTGAATTAGTCAGTAACATATATTTTGTTTCCGAAGGGTGGGAGAGGTCTGAGGTGTGAATGGTTATTAATATATCTTTTGTT